TTTTTTTGTTGACATTTCTAATCAATACATTATATTCAATTCAAAACCTTAAGAAAATAGATTTATTCTCACTTATATATTATTCAACTTCAACATTTAAACTCACTTTCTTTGAAGTGTAATTTCTTATATATAGGAACACTCACCCCATCAAATAAAAACATTTCTAAACTATAAATATCTCCAGTGATAATCATTGTTAGGGGTACATATCTTAATGAGACCCTTACTAATAGTTTTTTTTTTCTTTTTTTAAGGAGGTGTTTGTAGAAATTTTCAAAGCTTGTTCATTTGTGATTGAATTTTGGTTCATTTTCTATTCATGAACCAACAACGAGCTCTCTAATTTATCAAGAGAAAGGATGTCTGTCTTTTGACTCCTAATGAAGCAATCAACATAGTTAAGTTCTTGTGGACTGGAATATAAATTTGTTTCTACTATAAAAGCATCTTCATTTTTTTTGCATGGATCTCATTTTGTTTCAAATCTCCATAGTCCTCCCAAAAAAAGTTAGTAAAATTTGTTCATCTTTTATCTGAAATTTAAAAAATCTCTCCTCAAGGTTTAAAATTATGCACACTTCACTCTCCTCAAACATTGAAACAAGGTGAGATAACCTTTTTGTATCCTTCTTTCTCAATTTTTATATCAATGGGCCACTAATTCAACAGTGACTGAGTTATGAACGATGACGTCTTCTCTGGTTGAGAAATGGAGAGACTTGTCTATTTGACACTTATATGGAGATATGATGTTGATGTGCAGAGAGAATAACGAAAGCTTATACTTTCCTTTTATAAAGCTGTATTGGTTATTAAAAGACAAAATAAGAGATAAATAATATATTTAGAAATCATAAGAGATCTTCTTGTAAACAAGATAAGAACAGATTCATTAGAACAGTATTCTGTTTTTATTGTTGGCTATGTACATTCGCTAAAGCAAAGGATGAACGACTTTGTACAAAAATCGATATGCTGCTTAGGTTAGGCAGTGGCATGCAATATTGATTTATGTTAAGTTATGCTATCTTTGGTTCAGTTAGTATTACATTTATAAAATTCTTTTGTATTGCTGGACAGAGAAAAAGTTCTAGCTTGTGCTAAGCACTACGTGGGTGATGGTGGAACAATCAAAGGGATTGATGAGTACGACACTGTTATAGACAGAGATGTACTGATGAGAATTCACATGCCAGCTTACTTCAACTCAATCAGCAAGGGTGTGGCAACTATTATGGTCTCTTACTCCAGTTGGAATGGAGTAAAAATGCATGCTAACCACGAACTCATTACTGGCTTCCTCAAGAATACTCTACATTTCAAGGTAAAATAATTTGGGTTGAATAAAACATTGAAACCTGTTTATCATCCTATGGGCACAATTTTAACTGACACTTAAGTTTTCGTGGATTACACCAGGGCTTTGTTATTTCAGACTTTGAAGGTATTGATAGGATCACCTCTCCACCTCATTCAAACTTCACTTATTCAGTTGAAGCAGGGGTTTCTGCTGGCATTGACATGGTAGTTTATGTCAAAAGTATCTGAATTAATGAATAAAGTTTTAATAAGAACACATTTATATTATTATAAACTCTTCTTGGTACTGCAGTTCATGAATCCAAAGCTGTACATAGAATTCATCGATGATCTAACCATGTTGGTGAAAAATAAGTTCATTCCTATGAGTAGAATTGATGATGCAGTAAGTAGAATTTTGTGGGTTAAGCTCATGATGGGTATTTTTGAAAACCCTTTTGCTGATTACAGTTTGACCAGATATTTGGGAATCCAGGTTAGCTATTTTTTTCTTCAAGTTCCTTTAACTTCCCTAAGTTCACAATAGGGATCAGACTCTTCAATGTTTATCAAAATTATTAACAGGAGCATAGACAATTGGCCAGGGAAGCTGTAAGGAAATCAATGGTCCTTCTGAAAAATGGTCAATATGCTGACAACCCTTTATTGCCTCTTCCTAAAAAGGTGTCAAAAATACTTGTGGCTGGAAGCCATGCTGATAATCTAGGATATCAGTGTGGTGGCTGGACCATAGAATGGCAAGGAGTCAGTGGGAACAATCTTCTCAGAGGTGAAAATATATATTTTTTCTTTCTTGCATAATTATATCATAATTTTATTGCAACTCTTGTTCCTTATTATTATTATTATTATCCTGAACCTTTGTATGACCAGGGACTACAATTCTCACTGCTGTGAAAAACACTGTTGATCCTGAAACCAAAGTGGTCTATAAGGAGAACCCTGATGCAGAATTTGTTAAATCCAATGGATTTTCCTATGCCATTGTTGTAGTAGGAGAGCATCCTTATGCTGAAATGCATGGTGACAACATGAACCTGACAATCCCAGAGTTTGGTCCCGAGACCATAACAAATGTCTGTGGAGCAACAAAATGTGTGGTTATCATAATTTCTGGTCGTCCAGTAGTTATTGAACCATACGTTAGTATAATAGATGCGCTTGTTGCTGCATGGCTTCCAGGTAGCGAAGGCCAAGGTGTGGCTGATGTTTTATATGGTGACTACGGTTTCACAGGAAAGCTTCCAAGGACATGGTTCAAATCCGTTGATCAACTGCCAATGAATGTTGGAGATCCTCATTATGACCCCCTCTTCCCATTTGAGTTTGGCCTTTCTACCAAACCTACTAAGGCTTTTTACCCCGCTTAGTTCTCATCTTCACTCACTGTTATATATATATATATAATTAAAAACAATAAAGAGTGTTAGGTTGTTTTTAAAAGATAAAATATATTTTTTATATTTAATTCTATTTTTTTAAATATTTTTTTAATCAATATCTTAAAAATGATTTAGTGATGTGACAAATATTAAAAAGATAACAAGTAAAAATTAGGTATAGATTTTGATAATATATTATTAATAAATAATAAATAAATATGAAAAGGTAAAATAATAAAAAAAATAAGAGAATATATAATATTTTTTTATTTTATATATTTAATTGTTTGATTTAATATTAATAAAGAGATTAAAATTATAAATATGCATATAAGTATATTTAATTATTATTAATATTATGAGATCAAAAATTGTAAATATATATATAAATTATAAAAATTTTGGGAGATGTTGACTTTTTCACCTTTCTAGAAGCTCTAGTATTGGTAATAGAGTTTGTAAATATTGTTCCACGTATTCTTCTCTCACCCAATTTTACATCTTTAGTCTAAAACACAAATGTATTAATGATTCATCACTTCTTTTGCCAACCTCAATATCGATAAATCTATGAAAGTCGTTGATAATATTTGTAAATAATTTTATAATAAAACTTATCTTGTAAATGATTTTATAATAAAACCTATCGTGAATAGGTTCAAATCATGTATATTTTTAATTTGATTGTCATATTTTTCTTGGGATATTATTAAATTAACCATTGAAATAGTTTATTTGATTATATCATTCTTGTAATAAGAATAAATAAGTGAATCATGTCCCAACTTCAAATGATATGTTGAATTGTGTTTATTGTTATATATTAAGGCTTGGGAAAGCTAGAAAATATAAGTTATGAATAATTTTTTATACATTCTAAATATAATATTCAATTTTTTTCTCTAATTTTTTTAAATATTTAGACTAACTTTTACATTTTCATCCTTTATTGTACCTTCAAGATCATCAACTCAAAATACTTTATATTAGATTTATTTCCTTCTTTTACTATTTTCATTTACTTTTTGGAATTTACATTTTTTTTACATTTGTTTTCTTCTACTATTTTGCTATTTTTCAACTATTTCAAATTTCTATTAAGTTTCCAATCCTCAGGTTGATTTTGAGATTAAAAATTTATTTTCTATTATTTAAATTTGATTTTTCATGATTTTAACGTAAACCATTACAATCAATATAATTGAAATTGTTCGATTGAATCTCTCAGTTTTCATAACAAATTATATTCTAGGTTTATATAATTGTTCGATTAAACAAAATAATAACCTTACCAACTGACATATATAAAGCTTTAAAGGAGGTTAAGACTATTAATTGGAAAAATCTTTCTACTCCTAAGGTGGATGGGGGGTTTGGGAGTTATATCTATTAAAGTTGAAATACAAGCATTTTTACTACATCAAATTCCAATTCTGGGTTTGATGGAATCTTTTAAGATTTATAAGCAGATATTTGATGGATCATGAGAATGGGTCACCATGCATGATTGTCTCCTTTGAAGTGACCCAATTCTCCAAATTCAAAAATGGAGTAAAAAATCCTAGTCTCAGTCTCTGTAATCTATCAGGTCCTACAAGTTCACTTTATGGGAAAAACACGTTCCTTTCCTAATTGGGTCATTCATTCCTGCGTGACACGTGCCGCATCTTTTTGTGTTTCTTTTTCTAGATTCCCCATGTCACGTGAGGCAATCTGTTCAAAGATTTTCCTCTTATATAAAAATCAACAAAGAATAGGATATCTTCAAATGCACAATAAGATTACTATAAGAAATATTTAGATAAAAATAAAACATTATAAGAATATTTATTTGAAATGAATGATCTTAATCTCTTAAAAATATTTTTTTCAAAATTGAAATATCTACATCTAATAAATAATTTTTTATCTAAAAAAATATGTCTTAAACTTATTAAAAAAACAAATATGTCAACCACTTGCGAGACCATAAATATATCAATAGAGAAAGATTTTAAATTATCTACTACAAATATATTAAAGTATTGTATAATTATATAGGTTGTATAATATTTAGTTAAAATTATTATAATTATAAAATATTATGATTTTTTTGGTGACTTGCGTCCGTACCATTTTATATTTTATAAATAAATTGTCCATGTAGTCTTTGTTTATATTTTCAAGTTTTGTCATACTAGATACTGTGTTCTTTGAAGAATTAATATGGCGCATCTGAGTTATGTGTAAAGAGGACTTAGTTTTTGTGCAACTGAGTTTTACATATCCAGTTGAATTTGTCTAAATACTCTTACTATGGATCTGGAGGGAATGGCTAAAATCTCCATGCTGTTGGTGGGGCTTTGGCTACTACTTAACTGGGCAGGGTTGTCGAGTGTAGAGCGCATGAAGTACAAGGACCCTAAACAGGCAATCGATGCTCGGGTTGAGGATCTTGTTAGCAGGATGACTCTTGAGGAGAAAATTGGTCAAATGTTGCAAGTTGAGAGGAAGCATGCATCTGCAGATTTGGTTAAGAAGTATTTTATTGGTAACCACTTTACCTTTTCTTGTTTTTTTGTGTCCCTTTTTCTCTGTTGTATATTCACTCAATTTTTTTGTGTTTTGAGTAGGCAGTGTAATGAGTGAGGGAGGGAGTATTCCGGCTCCACAGGCTTCTGCTGAAACCTGGGTTGATATGGTGAATGAATTTCAGAAGGGTGCTTTGTCAACCCGGCTTGGAATTCCAATATTTTATGGGATTGATGCTGTTCATGGCCACAACACTGTTCACAATGCAACTATTTTTCCTCATAATATTGGCCTTGGAGCTACTAGGTATATTGATATCAATAGTATTTGTCTCATAAGGGATGTGATGAGATGGTAAAATAAATATAAAAGGGAGTGTAAATAAATAAAACTCATTAGATCTATAGCTGATTCTATCATCTGAAGATTGAATCATGATCTTGAAATAGTTCAAATATTAGTCACGAGAGATTAAAGCAATTCAGAGTTGCACATCTTACCTAGTCTAGAAGTTGAATGTAGATGGTATGTACCCCAAAAAAAAACGGTATTCTCAAAAAATTTTAATCGATGGACAGCGAGGTTAAGCAAATTATTTGGTGATTACCCTTGACATATTCATTTCTCATGCTATCACTACGTTTATTGTTATAAAAGATATATAATCATATAGATATTTTCATTTTGCTGGTTATAGGGACCCTGAACTAGTTAAGAGAATTGGAGCTGCAACTGCCCTTGAAGTTAGAGCGACAGGAATTCAATATGCTTATGCTCCTTGTATAGCAGTACGTAATTACAATCAACTTTTTATGCTCTCACATTATAGACTTCTTCTAACACAGGCTTATACTCTGTAGGTCTGTAGAGATCCAAGATGGGGTCGGTGTTATGAAAGCTACAGTGAAGATACTGAATTTGTTCAAGCTATGACCGGAATCATATCAGGATTGCAAGGGGACATCCCTGATAATTTACCAAAGGGTGTCCCTTATATCTCTGGAAAGTAAGAATTTTAAGACAATGTAGCTTTAATTTTGATATGATTGCTCCAGTATCAGTTAGTTGTGGTCCTTGGTAGTTGATATTTTTGCTCTTCATTATGTTGAATTGTTGAACGGTTCAAAGGAAAATGGCAATTCTTTGCCTCATTAGTTTTAAATTAGGCCTTAATGGTTTTCATAAATGTATATAAATCAGCTATACAAATCTTCTGTCATAATGCTGTTTGTGTTGTAAAAATGAAGTTCAACCTTCGGAAAACAAGTTACTAGCTTCAGAACATGAGAATGTAAATTTGGTTCCTCATACCCCCTATTCATTTTGTTTCACTCCCTACTTTTACATGAGTCACTAGGACGAGCTAGGCTTCATGGTCAAAGCAATGTGCTGATTTTGGAGTTATTATTTAGTTTCTTAAATACTCATGTATTGCTGGACAGAGAAAAAGTTATAGGCTGTGCTAAGCACTATGTGGGTGACGGTGGAACAATCAATGGGATTAATGAGCACAATACTGTTATAGATAGAGATGGATTGATGAAAATTCACATGCCAGCCTACTTGAACTCAATCAACAAAGGTGTGGCAACCATTATGGTTTCTTACTCCAGTTGGAATGGTGTAAAAATGCATGCTCACCATGATCTTATTACTGGCTACCTCAAGAATACTCTCCATTTCAAGGTAAAATAATTTGTTTGTTGAATGTAACATTAGTTGAAACCTGTTTATAATCATGTGCACATAATTTTTATATAACCCTTGCCTTTTCTTGGATTGCATCAGGGCTTTGTCATTTCAGATTTTGAGGGTGTTGATAGGATCACGTCTCCACATCGTGCAAACATCACTTATTCAATTGAAGCAGGAGTTTCTGCTGGCATTGACATGGTAGTTTGGGCCAAAAGTACATGATATAACCTGAACTGATGTATATGGTTCCAATGAGGACACGTTTAATGTTGTCAAAAACTCTGCTTGGTTTTGCAGTTCATGTTTCCAAAGCTTTACACAGAATTCATAGATGATCTAACCATGTTGGTGCAAAATAAGCATATTCCCATGAGTCGAATTGATGATGCGGTGAGAAGAATTTTGTGGGTTAAGTTCATGATGGGCATTTTTGAGAACCCTTTTGCTGATTACAGTTTGACCAAATATTTGGGAATCCAGGTTAACTATTTTGTTTTACTCAAGTACTGCCTTTAACATCCCCAAGTTGGCAATTAGATACAGGGATCGCCTTGTAACTGTTCAATGTTTATCAAAATTCTCAACAGGAGCACAGAAATTTGGCTAGGGAAGCTGTAAGGAAATCAATGGTCCTTCTGAAAAATGGTGAATCTGTTGATAAGCCTTCATTGCCTCTTCCTAAGAAGGTGCCAAAAGTACTAGTGGCTGGAACCCATGCAGATAATCTAGGATATCAGTGTGGTGGGTGGACCATACAATGGCAAGGAGTCAGTGGAAACAATCTTCTCAAAGGTAAAAATATATCTATTTTTGTTTCTTTAATAATTACATCATCGTTATCAATTATATAATGCAACTCTCGTTTCTTATTATTCTTGTGAACGTTGATGGGCTAGGGACTACAATTCTCACTGCTGTGAAAAACACGGTTGATCCTGAAACCACAGTGATCTACAAGGAGAACCCTGATGTAGAATTTGTTAAATCCAATGAGTTTTCCTATGCCATAGTTGTAGTAGGAGAGTATCCTTATGCTGAAACGCACGGTGACAACATGAACTTGACAATCCCAGACCCTGGTCCCGAGACCATAACAAACGTTTGTGGAGTAATAAAATGTGTGGTTATCATAATTTCTGGTCGTCCCGTAGTGATTAAACCGTACCTTGGTATCATAGATGCACTTGTTGCTGCATGGCTTCCAGGTAGCGAAGGCCAAGGTGTGGCTGATGTTTTGTATGGTGACTACGGTTTCACAGGAAAGCTTCCAAGAACATGGTTCAAATCTGTTGATCAACTGCCAATGAATGTTGGAGATCCTTACTATGATCCCCTCTTCCCATTTGGGTTTGGCCTTTCTACCGAAACTACTAAGGTCTTTTACTCTGCCTAGTTTTCATCTTCATTTTTGTAGATACTTTTATCTGCAACATTTTAAAGGTTATATCTCTTTTGGGCCCTACATTTTGTCATGGATTTCTTTGCCTGATATTGCAGTATTATGTTGGACTTTTCTCTCGTTAAACCATCTAATATATAAAAACCTCAACAAAAAAATCATTCTCATTGCATGTAATATCTAGTTAAGAAAACACGTAGGATATGTTTGGTTGGAGTGATTTGAGAGAGTGGAAATGAGAGTGTGGAAAAGGAGGAATTTGAAGAAAAATGGAGGTGAAATTAAAGTTGTTTGGATGAAAGGAGAGTGAAAGAAAAGTTTATGAAAAATTGTGAGTGATTTGATTGATATGAGATATAAAAATTATAATTATAATTGATTATTTAAGAAAATTACCATTTTACCCTTGTGTATAAAATAAGGTTAAAATTATTATAAATATAATTTTTTAATTAATTATCTATATTTTAACATTGATTATATATTTGAAAGAAAAAAAAATTTAAAAGTGTTTGTAAGTGAAAACAAATTTAAAAAATTAATTTTTTTTAAAATAGTTATTAAAAATTATATAAATAAACAATTACAAAATTATTTACATTGTATATCCATAAAAAAATAATTTTGACATATTAAATAAATTATTTGACTAATAATTAAATAATTATAAAATATAAAATAATAATTAATATTGACTAATAATAACAAATAATTATGAAAATTAATAATATAATTGTAAATTATTATTTTAAATAAATATAAAATATAGTGAAAATAGAATAATAATTAAATGAAAAATTCATGTAAACTTAATAGTAAAAATATTTTATTATTTAGTTAAAAATTATATTAATATATTTTTGTCATATTTTTATATTTTCAACATAAAATTAAAAAAAATATATATATATATATATATGTATATATATATATTAGAATTACATGTCATAAATTTTAATTATCAAATAATATTAATTAATACGGACATTAGATATTTGACAAACATTACTAAAATTATAAACATATGCATACTAATGCTTCTTCAAACAAATAATTATAATGTTATCGATCCTTTGCAGTCAAGTCCTCTCGTCAGAATGTCGAAAGGTTTGCCGAGTAGGTCTGCCAAATTCATTGTGATCGAAGAGCTCTTGAATGATTCTTAAAGTATTTTGAGGTCTTTATAGCAGATCATTCAATCATTTCCACCCAAGAACATGAACAACTGGGAGAGACGAAGAAGTGAGGGCAAACCAAAAAGTCGTCTAACATGTGATTCATGAGTAGACAAATGATTATAACACTGTAGCATAAGTTGCTCGTCATTTAGGTTCATGCCGACTAACATGTCCCATATATCTGACTCGGAATGTTGAAATGTTGATGATCGTCTCATCACATTAACTTGCTCATTAATTAAATCATTTCTGCGTTCAATGACGACCACCTGTCTTTCAGCTATGTTAGATAATCGTTGGGTCAATGTATTACCTTGTCCAAGGTAATATGTAAATGTGTACAGCCTCATTGTTAGTTTGTCAAATTGACCTTCCATCACATCAACCATAGGCGCTTTTCTTTTTGTGCCCCGAGATGAAGAGGTTCCACCTGAACCAGTAGACGCAACAGATGGCATTGACTGAGCACCCTCAGCAGGACTGTTGGAACCCATGCGTGGATGTGATTCGATAAGTTGTATCAAATCCTGCATCAAAGCCAAAGTGAAATGGCTGCTCCTCTGGTGTGGGGTCCACATCAACGTTCAAGTCGACTGTTGCCCTTCGAGAACTGATATTCATTCGGGACTGACGCGAAGTTCTTGCCATATGTCCAGTGCCTCGATCAGCACCCCACAATTCTTCCATCAAATCATAATACCTTATAGTTGACAGTTTCCATTTAGCTGCAGAAGGCTTCGCCTACAAATTAATGAGAATGGTTAACACTCGTAATTGTTATGTTTTGTTATATCAACAAATGATAATTCATATAATAGTACCTTGATTAGGTCATCCCATACTTCTTGCTCAGTCATAAATCGTTTTGTGATATCATCCCAAGCGAATCCACTAAGTCCATGAAACAAATCGTGGACCTCCCGCCATCTATCCTTAAGACTTTTTTGTCGATTTTTAACATTATTTTTAGTTATACCAATTAATCCAGACTGTTTTAGGGATTCAACTATATTATTATATGTTTGGGTTGTCCAACTACCATCAACCCGATTACCCAACCTTGTCTCATGAAGCATAGCAGTCAACAATCGAAAGTTCAAATCATCAGTCCATTTTGTAAACTCGCGCACTACAGTTGACGAATTCGGTGCAATATCTTTTCCTCTGTTCATTTTAAACCTATTGGAAAGATAATATATGTAATTACGATACTAACATATAATTATTATAAATAGATAATCGTAATGTAATCGTATTTCAACAATAACAATAGTACATCTCATTAAATATATTGTTACATACAAAATCTAATGACTTTGATAATCTATCCACATTTGATTTACTATAGTATCTCTTAAGTTTGAGTCTTCCCTATAATCTTCTTCCCGAACTTGAGTCGACATATTATCCACATCTTGTTTCATCAACTCTCGATTCACTTCAGCTAACAGTGATTCATCGTTGTCTATCCCTCGAAGAAAATTGTGTAGATGATGAATCACTGTTAGCTGAAGTGGATCGAGAGTTGATGGAACAAGATATGGATAATATGTTGACTCAAGTTCGGGAAGAGGATTATAGGGAAGGGTCAAACTTAAGAGATACTATAGCAAATCAAATGTGGATAGATTATCAAAGTCATTAGATTTTGTATGTAACAATATATTTAATGAGATGTACTATTGTTATTGTTGAAATACGATTACATTACGATTATCTATTTATAATAATTATATGTTAGTATCGTAATTACATATATTATCTTTCCAATAGGTTTAAAATGAACAGAGGAAAGGATATTGCACCGAATTCGTCAACCGTAGTGCGCGAGTTTACAAAATGGATCGATGACATGGACTTTCGGTTGTTGATTGCTATGCTTCATGAGACAAGGTTGGGTAATCGGGTTGATGGTAGTTGGACAACTCAGGCATATAATAATATAGTTGAATCTCTAAGACAGTCTGGATTAATTGATATAACTAAAAAAAATGTTAAAAATCGACAAAAAAGTCTTAAGGATAGATGGCGGGAGGTCCACGATTTGTTTCATGGACTTAGTGGATTCGCTTGGGATGATATCACAAAACGATTTATGGCTGAGCAAGAAGTATGGGATGACCTAATCAAGGTACTATTATATGAATTATCATTTGTTGATATAACAAAACATAACAATTACGAGTGTTAACCATTCTCATTAATTTGTAGGCGAAGCCTTCTGTAGCTAAATGGAAACTGTCAACTATAAGGTATTATAATTTGATGGAAGAATTGTGGGGTGCTGATCGAGCCACTGGACATATGGCAAGAACTTCATGTCAGTCTCGAATGAATATCAGTTCTCGAAGGGCAACAGTCGACTTGAACGTTGATGTGGATCCCACACCAGAGGAGCAGCCATTTCACTTTGGCTTTGATGCAGGATTTGATACAACTTATCGAATCACATCCACGCATGGGTTCCAACAGTCCTGCTGAGGGTGCTCAGTCAATGCCATCTGTTGCGTCTACTGGTTCAGGTGGAACCTCTTCATCTCGGGGCACAAAAAGAAAAGCGCCTATGGTTGATGTGATGGAAGGTCAATTTGAAAAACTAACAATGAGGCTGGACACATTTACAGATTACCTTGGGCAAGGTAATACATTGACCCAACGATTATCTAACATAGCTGAAAGACAGGTGATCGCCATTGAACGCAGAAATGATTTAATTAATGAGCAAGTTAATGTGATGAGACGATCATCAACATTCCGAGTCAGATATATGAGACATGTTAGTCGGCATGAACCTAAATGATGAGCAACTTATGCTTCAGTGTTATAATCATTTGTGTACTCACGAATCACATGTTAGACGACTTTTTGACTTGCCCTCACATCTTCGTCTCCCATTTGTTCATGTTCTTGGATGGAAGTGATTGAATGATCTGCTATAAAGACCTCAAAATACTCTAAGATTCATTCAGGAGCTCTTCGATCACAATGAATTTGGCAGACCTACTCGGCAAACCTTTCGACGAAATACTGCTATTGAAGTACATTCTGACGAGGGAACTTGTGAACTCGAGGACTTGACTGCAAAGGATCGATAACATTATAATTATTTGTTTGAAGAGCATCAATGTGCATAGGTTTATAATTTTAGTAATGTTTGTCAAATATCTAATGTCTCGTATTAATTAATATTATTTGATAATTAAAATTTATGACATGTAATTCTAATATATATATATATATATTTTAATTTTATGTTGAAAATATAAAAATATGACAAAAATATATATCATTTTTTCTTCTCAAATTCGGCTAAAACACTCTAAACATGCAAGGAGGTTCAAGTTTCAACTCTTAGTTACAACATTTGAGAGTTTTTTGGTATATAAACTCATAAATGTAATTAAAAGTGGCTAGATATGAAAGTGCAATTCCAAGGATTCAAGAGAGGATTCAAGCAAGAAATAACAAAATAACAAGGGCGGGAAAAGAAGGACCAACCATGATAATAAATGAAAAGAGAGATAAAAAATAGAATGGAGAAGAGAAGAAGTGGGGGTGGCACGCCACTTGGGAGATGGACCAACCCAAGATGAGTGGTGGTTGTCATCACTTAAACCAAGATTTAATATAAAACTAAAACTAAGAGAAGAAGAATACTCAAAGAGAATAGCTCTAAAACTTTCATTCAAATTATAACCATTTATAAGAGGTGATGAGCCTTCTATATATAGGCATGAGTAAGGGACCTAATGGAATTACATTAGGGGATTCTAGAAGCACATGTATCCCTAATTTTACTCTAGAAGGGGTGACTCCCCTTGTTTTCTCACCAAAAATGTGAAAGTTTGGGTCCAAGGCTCTTTTCCTAAAAAAAAAATGTGGTGGACTTTAAAAGAGAGATGTCCTTAAGTAATCCTACAAAAATAATATTAGTCATAAGTTTAGGAAAATTTTAAGAAGAATAAATGTTAAGTAAATTAAAAGGTTAAGGGTGAGAAAAATGTTTCTCTTCTAAAATCATACTTCTAGTGATCCTCCTAGGGACAATCTCTCCCTTCTTAAGGAAACTTAGGGACTCATCAACTTTGTTATGACTTTCTATATTTTTAGGTTAGTTTTCTAATATAAAATTTGATTCATTGATTGAGATTTGATTCTTTCATAATTTTAACTATTCATAATTCAATAAATCAATTGTAATTGAAATTGTTCGATTGAATTAAATCAATTGCATCATAAAAAAAATGGTTTATGTAGTTGCTTTTCTTATATTTTATTAATGTATATAATTGAATGTAATGAGTCAATTCTTAAAGGAGAACTAGATTTAGCGCATGAGTTTATGGTGAACTAGAATAACAATTGAGTATTTCATTTTCATATAGTTGATAAAACTTCATCTTGAGGACTAAATGTTATCAAATATTTTGCAATGGAAATAATCCAGTACTAGGATTGGCTTGGATCGTGTCCTCAAGGAGAATTGATATGTTTTGTTCATATATGATTTCAATTGTGAAAGTTAGGAAAAAAAATGATATTTTTGATGTTCAAGTGCAAAAAGAGTAAATGAAAGTAATAAAAACTAAGTTCCTACAAAAAATAGTAAACTAAAATATGTAATTGAAAACAATAAATCTAAACATGAAAACACTAAATGAATATTGTAAATTGCATAGAATGTAAAGAAAAGCATGTAAGTTATTATATGAAAGTTGTAAATGAAAAGCAGTACAAATATGTTCTACAAAGTATTTGAAGGTCTAAAAACTATAAAAAAACCTTGTTCACTAAAATTAAAGGTAGGAACATAATTAAAATGGAAATTATAAAGGAAAACAATGAATAACAATGTGAAGAACAATAGGAACACGTAGGTTGAATTTCTAATCATCATTTGTTGATATGATTATCATAGATTTTTAGAATTTGTCTTGCAAACACAATAACAATTCATAATAGTTCTAAACAATTACAATCCAATTGAAGGAAGAAAATACAACTCAATTTCCAAATCAAGCAACCTAGAAATTGATTTGTGATATAGAAAAGACATCAATCAAATAACCTCAAATACATTCATTGTAATGGATTATAATCGGTTAGAATCATTAAGAATCAAATCTAAATCATAAGAAATAAGTTTTGATCAGGGAAACAACCACAAAAACGAATTAAAATATGACTAGAAAGAGAAAAACAATAAAAACATCAAGAAAAAACAAGAAAAGTTAAAGGAAAAGATGAGAAACGAAAATTAAATGAAAACATTAAAGAGTAATGAAACAAATTTGACCTTAAATATCTTGAATTAATAAACTTCAAGGTATTATTTGTAAAAGATCCATTTGAATTGAATTTGGAAGTAAAGCAACTCAAAACAGAGAAAATTATGCCCTAAAGTTGAAATCTAAAAAAATGAAACTTATGAAATTTGACCTTTAAAAGTCTATCTATACAATAACAAATATGTTCAATATGTGTAAGGCTCATCTAGATGCATAATTATCCAAGAGAACTCGAATAATTTTTTTGCATAATTGAGTTTAAGTGATAAATTCACTCAATGAGTCATCATTCGTTCAACATATTCTAATAGTTAAGTTAGTTGCTAAAAGATGATATATTCACTCAACGAATCTTCTTCCGTTAAGTGAATTATTAAAATTTAGAATAAGTACTCTTATGAATATTTACTAAACAAATTTTCTCTGGGTTAAGTAAATTTTTTAGAATAAAACTTGTTATATTTTTTTAATTTATCATTCTTATAAAAAAATAATTAAATAATAATTAAAATGTACACATTAAACAATAATTTAAATATAGAAATATTTATTTTATTTTATGAAAAGTATACTAATAGTAAATAATTAATTAAATAAATATATTAATTACATATAAAATAAATTAATAAAATTGTAGATAAAATATATTCATCATTAATGTTTATATCTTCCATCTTCTATATCCTTGCTTTTGAAATTATGTTTTACATGGTTGCAAAATTATTGTAAAAATATTTATTAGTTTGAGAAGATCCCTAGATTGTGAAAAATTTAACCATCAAATGATACAATATATATTGTCTAACAATGTTTAATACGTTTAATCCTTTACCCGTCCCTCTGTCATTTATTTCTCAAAATTACATAGGAAACTTCAATCAAACACACCACTCAATTATCATTATTTTCAAAGATATATTAGGGAAAGGAATTAAAAAAAAAAATACCCCAATGGAAAAATTCAGGATTTATTACTTGTAAATTATCGTCACTGGGTCGCATTCAAACGACTCAAGTGGACACGAAGCTTCCTTGATATTTTCACAGTAATTCTTTTGAGAACATTCTATCCACTCAAACACATTATTGGCTTCATCATAGTAGCATCATCACAATATCGTGATCACTTTCAATGGTTACATAAAGTCAACGAAGCATGATAATGGCTCCGGCAATCATGATGAGCACAAGTTTGGAAGTCAGAAATGTCTGCTTGAAGGATTTAATTCAACGTTCGCTATGACCCACATTCGTTCTTCTTCATAAGAAGCACTTAGCTCAGCGAAAAAATGGTAAAGAAATGTCTTTCTCAAACAAAGTCATGTTCTTATTGTTCTTATGCACTTGGGGTTCCAAAGCTGATGACCCTTTAGGTGAATTCTGCAATAGAAATACCAACATTAGCAGTGGAGGAAAAATATCTGCCAATATTGATAAACTATTGGCTGAACTAGCCCTCAGAACTCCCTCCACTGGCTTTGTTGCCACCACATACGGAAAAGATCACGACAAAGTCTATGCACTGGCTCAGTGTAGGGGAGATGTGAGCACTCACGATTGCTCTAATTGTATTCAGGATGCTACAAAGCAAATTCGCGAACGCTGTCCAAACCAGGCTGATGCAAGGATTTGGTATGACTATTGCTTTCTAAGGTACAACATCGAGAGTTTCTTTGGTGAGGTTGATACATCTTTTGGTATATTTTATTTCAATGTTGAAAATGTAACTGACCCTGAAGCTTTTAATAAAAAGCTTGGGGCTTTGATGGATCACATTAGAGCACAAGCTGTGATGCCTAATGAGAAAGGGCTTGGGAAGGGAAAATCTGTGCTGTCCCCATTTGTGACACTCTATGCATTGGTGCAATGCACAAGGGACCTGTCAGAGATCTCCTGTGCTCAGTGTTTGGCTATTGCAGTGAACAACTTCGCCAATTTTTGCAGCCATCGTAAAGGGTGTAGAGTGCTCTACAGTTCTTGCTATGTTCGATATGAACTCTATCCTTTTTTCTTTCCTCTTGATTCTAACAAAACAGAACCTTCCAATGTAGTAAGAGTCAGCGTTTACAGTTAAAACGCCATTCTGTTGTGCCAAAAGTGTTGTTCATGGTTGCTATATATCTATCAAACTACCCTTTTATGTATCACCCTTAAACATGGAAGTTGCATTTCAAAAAAAAAAAAAAACTTTGCAACAATGTATACGTTGAAGAATAAGAAGACTTTGTGTCAGTAGTTGACATTGAGTGAATTCTGTAGTTATATAGTCCAAAACCTTTGTATGTGACATTTTATGTCGTTATAAATAGTTCAGGATTGGAAATTTTATTTTTTAATTTTTTGCTAAGAATTTTTAGAATAAAAAAAGTTAAAATGAATTATCTATAATTTAAAACTAAATTGTGCAGAAAGTTGAATTTTGTTTTTTAGAAAACTATGAGAGAAATTTCATAAATTATAGTTTATTTATAAGATAATTTCAATTATGATTTATTTTTTATAAGTTTTTATGAAGAAATTTATCCAAACATATTTTCTTCATAAATTAATTAGTGTATATTGTTATAATTATTAATTGGATTACGTGTAAGTGTAAGAAAGCAATTGCATTGAATATTACTTCGAAGATATGCTATTGAGTTTTGAACATGATTATTTCTGGTAAAGATGTCTCTTATAAAATTAGATGAAGATGAACAAGTATATATGAAAGCAAATACTTCCTTGTAATTTGGAAAGTTAGTTAATAAAATTTAATTCTATACTGATTCCTTTTCTTTTTTTCTGAAAGTGATAATTAAAATAAAATTTGAAGAATATTTAAAAAATCGATTTCATTTCGTAAGGTAATAAGATTAATTAAAACTTTCTTATGTTTCAGATCAATATACAGGGATTTTTTTTTACTTATATTCAGGATCGAAATCAAAGAAAATAAAATTAGGAAAAATTATTTAGTGATAAATATTTTTATATATACATCATTTTTTTACATGTGTTATTGTATTGTTTTCTTCTAAGTATAAGAAAAAATAATTTTTTATTTAATATCAATTTTTTGTTAGATTAAATAATATATGTAATGTGATGGAAAATAATGCAAAGATAGAAAGAAAATAGGAAAAAAATGTAAGATGATTGAGAAAAAAATAGGTGTGTGTACTAATTAACTTTATGGTGGAGTTATAATTTTACGGAAAATCATACTTTGACAACCTAAATTTATACAATTTTTATAAACAACTTTCTTTTAATATTAGAATAATAATTTTATTTTATTAAATCATTTTATAAATTATTATATTAATAAAAGTGAGTTATTTAAAAGATGGTATAGTTTCGATTGTCAAAATATCACCTCTTTAATTTTAGTCCACGTTAACCATGACCCGCTCAGCATTCCACTTAAATTTTATTTTTTTTCATAGTAGAAGTCAAATGGACTTAAACGGGTCTCATTTGTAAAAAGTTAAAAAAATGAGATTTTGAAGATTTTATGTCTAAAGAACTAATTTAAAGTAGTGAACTGAAGAATCTAACGAAAATAATACAATTATGCATTAAATTTTGTAAATATACGAAAAATAGTTATAAAATCTCTAATCATCCTCTTGTTTAGTTGATTTCTAGACCCAACAAAATATATTCTTAGGAATTCTATACATTCGTAAATCAATTAATTAAATCAAATTGATCATCACATTTAATTAACTTTAAAACATAAATAAATTTATAAGAGAAGCAATCTCACGTAAACCTAAAATTTGATTTATGGTGTAATTAAAGAAATTCAATTAAACAATCTCAATTACATTAATAATAATAGACTATAAAATATTATAATATTGAAGAATCAGATTTAAATCAGAAAAAAAATTAATTGAAAAATCAACCCTATAAACTTAGAAATCCATGAAAGTAAAAAAAATAATGAAAAAGTGAAAAAAAGAATAATAGAAGAAATTTAAATCGAAAAAAAAAGTGATAAAGAAAAAGATAAATATGATATAATACATATCTTTATTTCAAATTTAATTTCGATTTTACACAATAAATTATTTAATAATAATTTAAACTTAATTTATAAATATTTATAATTTAAATTATAATATTATTATATATTTTCATATTTAAATAATATAAAAAAATAATTCTTTAAATTATATTTATTTAATTTTAACTCTATATATATATATATATATATATATAAAGGAATATATATTTATATGCATTAAAAAGAAAAAGTACTCATGAGACAAAGTGTTAGAAATACGAAATCTATGTGCAATTATATTATTTTAAAAAAAAAACTAGAACAATTTTTTTGGTTACGAAACTTTTTATTCAATATATTTTACTAGTTTACTAAATTTCTAATGAAGTGATAAAAATAAAGTAAATATAAAAAAACATTAATTTTAGAAATTTTGGTAATATAATCATGTCGTACTGCTTTTTTTTTATTAGTCTTGTTTTTTAGAAATTTAAGTTCTTCAAGCAAAATAAAACGAAAAAGGAAAATAAAGTTCCATATCTGGCGACACAATTAAGCGCATCACTCTGCTTTTACGCCATTTGCAGAGTATCCACGTGTATTCAATTCGAACACAGTATAGCAGGCCCTCCCATGGTTTGGAATCCAGTTCCGTAAATACCAAACCCTTCCTTCTTCCTTCTTGTATTCCACCATTTCCCTCTTCACACAATGAACAGGTATGTATGTTTTTCCATGTTCCGCTATTTTCAATCACTTTTCTTTCCGCTTGTTTCTACGTATGCCAGCGTTGGAATGTTTGGTTTTCTCCCCTGTAGTGTGGCTTTCTATCTTCCCTTTGTGTTTCGTATGTTAACACTGTTTTGGGCCCTGACTCTGTAACTGATGTAGTAGAGTGATCAAGAAGACTATTTCAAATGTCTGTGCCCGCAAAATTCCAAGAAAGTATTTTTGTACCCAGGGTGTGAAAGTTGCTGGTTCCACTATTGGAGAGGAGTCCAATGTAAGCATACAACGTATCATTATCAATAATTCCATTTTTCTAGTTTTTTATAGTGTGTTTTGTGTACAAAATTGAATTCATTGACATAGTGTTAGAGCAATACGGGGATGGTTACTTTTACAATGGATTTTAGAAACATCAAATTTTAGCAATATAGTTTCACGAAACGGGCTTGATTTTTGTGTTTCTAAATGGACCATTTGGTGTGGATATGGTTGAAGATTGTAACCCTGTCTTGTTGTTACATCTCGCCAAGTTTCTTCTTTACCTTTTAATATTACCCTATTTCCTTTTAATACTTCTAGCGAACAATCACAGATTGTAGGTTAGACTTACTGAGACTTTCTCTAGTGATGGGATACTTTTATGGCCTTTTGATGGGCTTTCAGATGATGATCAGTTTCAGATTGTAATATTTAGTCACTGTTTTACACAATCTGGTTGGAATTTGAGTTTGTTGTAATTGATATGAATAACTTTCTGAAAAATTTCAAGCAATATATTTGGTGTTTTAGTTTTTAATATAACAGAAAATTGAGTTTTTCCAGGAGAACCAAGTGTGATCTTACTGGAAATTCAGATTTGATTTATATTAATACTATTGAGAAATAAATGAGATCTCAAGGAGCATGATTGGGGCAATAGAGAAGTGGGGTTGCGAATATTTATGCTGTTTTTATCAATATATATTTACTAATTAGTCAATAGGGTGCTATAGTTGCAGTATCACTGTCGTGGTGTCCCGGAGTGGAGCAGCCCTAGGCTTCTTTGTGAATCAAATATTAGTGTGTAGCGGTTTTCAATCATGCTCATAGTGGCTGAAGTAATGGCTTTTTGCATGCTATAGCAGCACTACCTTGATATAGGTCTTAAAAACCCATTCTTGCAACTATAACAATATTTGTTTACGGTTCTGGGGTATAATTGTGATTTCTCCCCTATTTTCTGATGAAATTTTTTCTTCAGAAACAAAATAAGATTTAAAATCCTCTTCGTTAACCATTCCACAAAAAGTTACCTCTGTTTTGACATCTGTTCTTTTAAACTTTATAAAACATTTTTTTCTGTGTTCTGATCTATCTTATTTCTGTAAACTTCCAGGTTGACATTCTGCTCATTTTTATTTATTTTGTCATGTTCTTTTTCTTTTAATTTCATTATCTTTTATTTTTTTAACTAAATTACTATGTTCCTAGATAATTGATGATGATTGTCTCAGTAAACTGTGACTTATTTATCATGACTTTCCTTAATTTTATTCGAGTACTATATTATGTGTAGTCTAAATTTTATTTTGCATTGAAATATTTAAAATAGAGGTTATCTCACTTTCCTCTATCCCACTGTTGCGTATATTGATAATTATTAACAGCATAAGGCACAATACCCGTTTGTTTGCCCCTTTGGTTTGGGTGATCAAATAGAAAGGCAGTATGTAACATTCCTTTACAATCCTCCAACTCATGCCATAAGCTCTTGGTTCAAGTAGCAAATTTACAAGCAGAAGGGAAAAACACTAAGATATGAAACAACTCTGCGCATCTCAACAGTTAATCTAAGGCAACTAGTACTCCACATGACTAAGAAACCTTTCGATGCCAAACTTGGAAGACATTTCAAGTACTTGAGACAGATTCAGATGTCTTTCGCCTTTCACATCATTGGTCCCCGTGGCTCTCAGAAATGTGCTTATATCATAAATTCTGCTCACTATAAATTAGATTTTGAGTATTCCAAATGTTCTTCAAAATCTTGGCTGCCCCATTTCCTCCGAGCAAACAGCCATTTAGATTTTCCCAAATTGGTGATGACTAGGTAAAATCAAGGCTATACATGACTATTTGGTTACAAACTGTGATGCTAATCAACTATCTTGTTTAACCACTGCATTTACTGCAACTCTTTTGAAGCCATGTAAACCGCAAACCAATAGGAAACGCCAAAGTTGAGTAATTTACCATCACTCCCCATGTGAGGTGCTCTATACATTAACACAGATCACAATCATTATGAAGTTGGGCAACTATCCCTCACTCGTGTGATCAATAAACTCTATTGATTAACACAAACTGAAATAATTTTTGAGTTGGGCAACTTGCCCTCACTTCCTTGAACAATGAGCTTGCTGGTTAAATCAAGCACAGCCAAGGAAAAACTATGTGACATGCTTTTTTGTTATTTACTAAGTTGAGGTGGATTGAAGATGTGTAGCATCATATTTTTAATTTCTACTTTTTTACCCTAATTTTTACTTTTAGTAATTTATTCTTGTTATATGACTGCAATCACTCAGTTGTCAATTTCTTTGGAATCTTTTTCTATTATCCTCATCAATTATCCCTCACTCTCTCCTATTTGCATTTTCATATTATTATATTAGTTTATATTGAAAGAGAATGATTTCGCCAATGGAATAGCAAATTACAATTGTCCAATTCATATTCTTGAAAATTTGCAGGAGAATGCGAAGAAGCAGACTATTAGCAAAATTATTCCACAGTATGATATTGCTATTGTTGGAGGAGGCATGGTTGGCATGGCTCTAGCTTGTTTCTTGGGTAGGTATTAATTTTCATGGACATGGTGTGTGCCTATGTCATATTTTTCTAGATTTCAGTTGCTGTTGATAGATAAGATTTAGGAAAAATCTTTAGCTAATCGTGTCTTCACTGAGTTTAATTTTTTGTCAATCTGCACCTACTTAAGCCCTTATCTGAGGTCAATAAGCTGAATAAAAGTTTCACATATTTTTCCTATCTAAATTTTGGTAACTTTTGAACTGATTTATGATCCGGATCCTTAAAATATTTGACAATTTGTTACATTATTAATATATGCTTTAATTTGAATTCTGCGTACTTGGATCTATCCTTAGTCATTTGTTATAGCCTTCGAACTATCCAGTTTGGTTGTTCCAAACCGTGTCATAAGATTGCTGATCATCACTTTATCAGTAAAAGCATGCTAAGTAGTCACCCGTAGTCATTCATTATGAGAAATTGTTAAAGTATTTTCTGTTTTATGCACTGTACTTTAAATCTTGACTAGATTTTATTCTTTTAAGGTTCGAGGAGAAATTAAGAATGAATGGTTAGGCTTTTAGGATAGTATTTCAATGCATTTTAATGACCTTAAAAGATTGGTATTTGGTAACTTCAGTTTTATCACATTGAGCATTAGCATGTATTTATCTCATAGTCCATTTATTTATGATCATTTACAAAGAATATGGCTCAACCTTGTTGACTTGTCATTCACAAGGCTGTCTATTAAATTTGAAGCTTGCATTTATATATATATATATATACATGCGCACACACACACGATAAATTGTGTTTTTGTCCTTCAAGTCAATAATGTATCCAACTATCCTTGTTCTTCAACTATTTATGTCTATTTGTATTCTTTAATTTGTCAGGAAGTGGGCTAAGAATGATAATGGCAATGAAGGGAAGTATTAAAAAAAATGTGAGAATGAGAGGTGGAAATAGTTAAAAAAAAAGGTGATGTCAGGAACATTATTAGAAAATAGTTTTTTATTTTTTTTCAAAAGTTATTTCTAGAAGCTGTTATGAAAAGCAATTTTTTCCTTAAAATAAGCTTTTTATCCCAACACTCGTTAAGACAGGCATACAACGAAATAAAAATACTTACCTACTTGATGATGATAATGATGCTGGAGAATAATGTGTTATAACTTCAAATCTTGTCATTTGTTTTGTTCTTCCAGCAAGTATGCCAATGACAAAGCAGTTGAGCGTTGCAATTATTGATAGTAATCCGGCTTTGGGTAGTGGCTTGCACATCAAGAAGGAAGACCCGCCTGATCCAAGAGTCAGTACAGTGACTCCTGCTTCTATATCTTTTCTCCAAGGTATTATGTCTTTAAGGTTTGTTAGACAGTAATCACTATCATTGTGGTTTCAAATTCAAATTTTCTCTTCTTTTTTTTCTTGTTTCTTTGTTAGAAAAAGCAACACTTATATTAGAGAAAAAGGAGAAAAGCAGAACATGTGAAAAATGAGATATTATTTCATATTTAAAAACTTATATGTATATATATGTGCTTATGTATAAATAAAAATATTTTATAAATATAAATAAAATTTAGATTTTTTTCCCTAAATTTTCATATATAATAAATATTATATTTATTCTCTTAGACAATTTCTCACTTACTTTTTCTTCTCTTCCTTCTATCTTTACATTTTTATCTTTTTTTTCTTTGACCTTTTAATTTTCCCTCTTCAACTTTTTCTATCACACATTCATTTTGTTTTTTACATTTCTATCTTTTTTTTACCACTCATTCATTTTCATATTATTCTCTTTTAAGGATTCACTTTACAAAATAAAATTTGAAAGTTTTTCTCTTTAGTTTTCAAAATTTTTTTATTTTTATTTTTACAGTTTCATCCTATAAATTTTTAGTTTCTTTTTTCTTCTGTTAACATTGAAGACATAAAGCAAATTAGTATAAAAATATGAAATATTAATATAAATTTTTTTTATTATTATAACAAAATAGTATATGTAGTGTAGTATAAAAATATAATATATTGATAAAAAAAATTATTCATTATAAATTAGTTAGTTATTTTAATGTTTTATGATGTTTTATTTTGATGTTAAAATGTGAAAAAAAATTAGATTGTGTTTCAAAGATATTTAAAAAAAATTATAAACTCATTTTTTAAGAGTAGAAATATGATAGATGATGAAATAAACTTTACTTCTCAAAATTTAAATTCAATTACTAATATTGATCATGTTGATGAACATTTTATATGATATATTTATTTTTATATGATAATTATTTTTATATGTTGACCCTCCTTATCTAAAATTTATGGATCCATCCCTCCTACTAAGTAAAAATCAAACGTTTAGAAAAGACAAGTTAATGTATCTTAACAAGTAGTAAAATATGCTAATAACATTGAAGTAGATTGTTACCTTGTTAACTCTAATGATCAGCTTGTCAATGTCTTACCAAATCCTTGAGAGGTCCAAGAATTGGCTATATATAACTTGGACGGTAGGCATTGAAAATCAAGATAAATATGCTATATTTATTTTATAGCGTAATATGCATATATAAACCATCCTCGTTTGTGTAGTAAAACACATGGTTTTAGTCTAATTATTACTCTGTTCTTTTTCATTAACAAGTGCTTTTTGTCTATTTTCAGATGCTGGTGCTTGGAAATATGTTGAACAAAATAGACATGCTTATTTTAATATAATGCAGGTGCCTTTTTTTTCTCTCTCCCATTCACTGCTATTTTGTTTTGGGAATAGCTCAATAATGGAAATGTGCTCTCAAAGTGCATAGTTATTATGACCTTATTTAGGAAATTGACTCAAATGTTGTGCAAATACCTATGAAGCACATAAACAGCTCCTCCATGGCATGTCCCTTTATCTGACACGTGTTGAACACCGACACTCTACAGAAGTTTCGAATTAAAAAAAAAAATCTTGTGGCTTCAACACTTGTAAACGCAACTCGACATGGTTTTAAGTAACGCAAACACGACTTCAACATAAAATTTTTTAGAAGACTGATGTTTGAATTTCAGAAGTTGGAAATTCAGAAACTTATAAGCTTCTGCTTACCCCAATACCTTCCATCTAGTGCGGCTCATTCACGATTTCCTTTGGTTGCAACTTTTCTCAACTTTTCTTCTGACTTCTTGACTTCCATCAATCCCTTACGCTTCATTTTTCACTCTGGAGACTTTAGGACTTCCATTGCTAGCAAAAGGAATGGGTGGTTGTTCACTGACGTTTCTTTATTTCATGTATGTAGCCCGTTTCCTGCACATTGCTTCTCCTTTTTCTTGAATATTTAACTTTTTTCTTGAATATTTAACTTTCAAACAAAGTGGGTTGTCGATTGTATTCTTTTCTTGCTTCTGTGTCACAGTTTTTATCCAACAAATTTTTATGGAGCCACTGTCTACTATGTGTGTGCGCCATAGTTTTTGTTCAATATTTCTTCCCAAAATCGTCCCTAGCATTGTCAGACCTAAATCGTTTAATATTAATCCCAAACTGATTTTTAATCATTGAGTGAAATATGGGAATTATAGTGCTTACATCAGACTTTTGTTTAAGCAAATAGAGCCAAGTAACCCTAGTACAAGCATCAATAAGAGTTACAAACCAATGAGCCCCAGAAATATTAGGTACAGTTGATAGTCCCCATATATCACTATGGATCAATTGGAAAGGTTGGGAGCTTTTATTATTGCTACTGGGAAAAGATGCACGGGCATGTTTAGCTAATTCACAAGACTCGTGAAATTTTGAGGTATATAAGTTTTCATATAAATGGGGAAACATGATTTTTAACACACTAAATGATGGATGCCCTAGATGATAGTGATCTAGCCACATGATGTCCTTATTTGATGAACTAAGAAGAGACATTGGATGGTCAACTCTAGATTTTTTAGGTGCTTCTAAGTAATAAAGACCATCCTTTTCATTAGCAAGTCCAATCCCCAATCCGCCTCCCTGAGTCTTGTTCCTGAAAAACACAAAAAGATGGAGAAAAAATTGCAAAGCAATTGAGGTCATGAGTTAGTTTTTTTATGGAGATAAGACTGTTGAGAGTTTTTGTACATGTAGAACATTTTTAAGAATAAGATTGGGGGATACGTGGATATTTTCATATCCTGCAACCATGACCACAGATCCATTGGCAACAATTTCCTATTGCTTGGAGATGACATATAAGAATGAAAAAAATTGAGACAAGTGTGTCATATGATCCTGTAGCTCCTGAATCCACAATCCAAGAGTTCACATTATATGAAGCACTCATACAAGAAGTATTACCTAAGAGAACCAGAGAGCACGATCCAGAAGGTTCCTCCAAATTTGCCAACAGATTTTTAAGTCTTTTTATCTCCTCTTTATTGAGACCTTCCACCGTTTGAGATTCTTTAGTCTCAGATTGTTCTGCCATTAGAGTTTTAGATTTTTGCTGTCCTCCATGACTCATCCACTCATATCCTGGAGGTTTACCATGCAGTTTTCAACATTTCTCCTTTGTGTGTCTTGGCTTTTGACAATAGGTGCACCGTAGATTATCTTTGTTTTCCTTCCATAAGAATCAGTATTTTGTCCCTTTCCTTTCTGTAACATTTCCAGTTTAGTAAGCAAGGCAGACCCATCTACTGGTTGAGGCTCAAGCATGACACTTCTCCTACTTTCTTCTGCAAGAACAATTGAAATGGTTTCCTCTAGAGAAGGTGTTTCCTTTCCCCCGAGAATCTGCACCCTAAACTGATCAAATTCAGGATTTAGTCCAGCTAGAAAATCATATACCCGATCCTTTTCTATAAAGTTCTTTAAGAGAGTTGCATCCTCTGTACACTTCATTTCAAAGACTCGATAGTGGTCCAGTTCCTACCATATTCTGTAATCCCTCTACTGCCCTGTTTTGTGGCTGCAGTTTTTACTTTTATTTCATTCACTTGGGCAGCATCATTTGCCTTAGAATAGGTGTGATTTATGGAGTCTCAGATATCTTTGGCTGTATTAAGAAACATACATGTGTCACTGATGGAGGCTTCCATGGAGTCCCACAACCAAGACATGATCATGGAATCTTTCTCATCCCATGCCAAAAACTTTGGGTCGTCTTTATCAGTACCCTTTTCAAGTAGATGGCAAACACATCCCTTTCCCTTAAGATAGGTCTGAACAAATTGGGACTATTTAAGAAAGTTTTTCCCATCTAGTCTGTATGAAGCCTCAATCTTTTGTGAAAACTAGAATCCTCCCTTTTTGGTGTAGAATCAGTCATGAGAAAGATGCAGGTCAGCAACTGGTTTGATGAGTGTCACCGCCAAAAAATTGCAGCAATTAAGGTTGCTCCTTTAAATATAAAATGGCAATGAAGGTCGTTGACTATGATGAAGACAACCGTAGCCATGAAGGCCGTAGAAGGTGAGATTATAAATGGTGATGAATGTCTATGATGAAATTTGATGTGACAATGAAGATCGCAGAAGGTGAGAACTGAAACCAGAGCTTCAGGAAAACCTAGAGCTCTAATACCATGTTACAAAACGAGGTAGGTAGGGAACAATAATTGTGGAATAATTTTCCTTGATTATTTGAGGAAAAATACATAGGTATTTATGAAGGAAAAAATATACTAATTAAGGAAATAAATCTCCTAAAATAAAGATCCTAAATCAGTAGCTAATCTACCATTAGTTGTACAAGTTTTTTCAAACACGTATTCCTCTCCCTAAAAATCTCTTCATCCTTGTGTGGTGGGGTTTGGGATGGCAAAACGGGTCAGACTTGGTAGGTTGACCTGTCAGCCCTCTATAAATTTGACGAGGCGAGTTAGTATTTTTAACCCGTTAACCTGTTTTATCCCATCCCACCGAGTCAACCCATAGAGCGGGTCAGCCTGCAGTCTGCTTAATTGATAAAAAAAATTATTCTTATTGTAATACAATCAACAAAGGCAATATATAAGGTGAAAATTTGTCAGAAGAGAATTCAAAAAGTCTCACTCTCACTCACTACGGAAAACACTCTCCTTTCTCAAGCACAAATTTCTCTCTATCCTCTCCTTCTTGCTCATCCTAAGCATTGATTGTTCCTATTTGCATGACTTTAATTGAAGGTGTGAAAATTACTCAAAGGGAGAACAACATGAAGTTTTATCAAATAAAAAATATAATGTAATTTTTGTTTTAGGTGTTTGAAGTTTTCAATATAAAATAGAGATTTTACAAATTTTGACGTTACCTACATGTATTTGTTATTATTTATTAATTTTATCTTAATTTGATTGTTCTAAATTATATTTTCTTAATACAATGGGTCAATTTACATTATTAACTTGAAATATATATGTTGAATTGTTGACAAACAAATAATAATCCTATTATTAAATTTATTGAAAAATTTGATTTAAAAGAGACAAATAAATTAATTTAAAAAAATAAATTATAGCAGGTCAGCCCGCTAATTCGTCCTTTGGCAGGGTGCCAAATTCTACATGACGCTATGACTATAGCCACCCCATTTTTGGCAGGTAAAAAAGGGGCTGGTTGACCCGTTATACCATTCCTAGATGGAGCTTTATTTGAGCTCATGAATTCATTACTCATTGTAATACCCATAACAAAAAATTAAGAAAATGTTTTATATTATCATAAATAGTAATTTCTAACTATTGTTATATATAAATTATAAAAAAATGAGTATTGATAGATAACTTCACCTAGATTCAAATAGTGAGTCATACAATAGAGAGGAGTGTAACTTTTATTCCACCCACTATTGAGTCTAATGTCATGGGTGATATAATCAATGGTGGGTGATTCAAGAGAAAGGTTGAAAAGAGAAACAGTCTCATTTGATTGGCATATGGGCCAAGATGTTATCTGTCAACTAAACTTAAACTTGTAGGGGAAAGTTAGAACCTAGAAGATATGATGGTCATTTTTCATTTTATAATTTTATTTGTTTGCTTTTGCATAAGATTCCCTGATTGACATTAAATATGGTAAAATCTTCAGTAAGAAAGTCTAAATGTTTAGAAATTTGAAAATATACTCCAGCTCTCAAATCTATGGTGCAATAAATTTGACAATTTTCTTTAGATGATATTTGATAGAGCAATGAACGGTTACTTAGATGATATTCATTATCTTATCAGAAGTATGTTGGAAAATTAAAATACCCTGCAGTATCAAGACTAGATTCTCCTTGTGCCTTTTGAGGATTCATTTTTCTTTGACTACACTTTTATTCTACTATAACATTTCTTGAATTGTTTTGTCTTTGCAGGTCTGGGATTATACTGGTTTGGGATATGCTAGATATCACGCAAGCGATGTAAATAAAGACTTTCTAGGGTATGTGTAGACATGTCGTCATTAAGTAAACCCCTGTTGCCAAAACAGCTATTTCATTTCTAATTGGAAAACTTGATCACTTAGGTGTGTGGCAGAGAATAAAGTGCTCCATAATGCTTTACTGTCATGTATAAAGGTATAAATTTGCATTTTCTGTCTGTAATATGCAGTATGTAATTACTTGGTTAGTAATTTTATGATAAGCATTTAGAAACTTGGACAATGGTCCAAATTGGTGGTTCTGTTAATTATTCGTAATTAAAAACTGATACAATTTCTCAATCATGCTCCCATTCTATAATCCTCTTCTCTACTGACACAGAAACGACATTATTTTTGTTTAAATGGTGTTAAGATATCTTGTACTGGCTGGGAACTTAATCAGATAGAAGTCTGAACTTAATCAATTTTGCCGGCACTTGTCTTTCAATTCAGACTGCAAGCATACTCTCTGAATAGTAAGCTTACTAATACTAGTGTTAAATGAGTGGGATGAAATACTGCCATATCCTTGGATGTTCTGCCGATTCAGATAGTTTTAATGTTAGGACCATCAAGTCAGTAAATTCCGCTATGTCTTGGTTGCTTCCATTTTTTTCCCATTGCATATTATGTATGAGTAAAATTTGTCATTTTGGGGCATATACTTATATTACATTGAGAACGACAAACTTCTTGACAGGATTCTGATTTCAAGACAACAATCTATCCTTTGAGGTTAAGTTCAATGACTTTGAACACAAGCTCTGTGTCTATGGTGGAGGAGAATACAAAATCCATAGAACCGCCATCTGCTCTAAGGCATGGTGCAAAGCTGCAACTTAGTGATGGAAGTAGCTTGCATGCAAAGTTGGTGGTAATGTAAATGTGTTATGTTGCATTGCCATAGAAGTAACAAAATTTTTCTTAACTACATTCGGGAGGACAATTAGCAACCCTCTGATTGTTATAAGTTAATGTCTATTTATAAAGATGCTCGTTTTGAAGGTTGGCGCCGATGGAGGAAAATCACATGTTAGGGAATTAGCAGGAATCAAAACGACTGGCTGGAATTACTCTCAGAATGCAATAATCTGCACAGTAGAGCATACTTCTGAAAATGGATGTGCATGGCAACGTTTTCTACCAACGGGTCCAATTGCTCTTTTACCCATAGGTGATAAGTTTAGCAATATAGTTTGGACCATGAGCCCAGCAGAGTCAAACAGCCGCAAAGCAATAATCGAGGAAGAATTTTTAAAGGATGTGAATTATGCTTTAGATCATGGTTATGGACCTCGTCCTACATCAGGCTTATTTGGAACTCGAGACATGTTCTCTTGGTTTAAAATGGATGCACCAATATCAACTAATGAATTCTTTGAAACTCCTCCAAAAGTGACAAAGTTGGCATCTGAAAGGATGGTGTTCCCTTTGTCTTTAAGGCATGCCAATTCCTATGCATCAAAACGTGTGGTTCTTATTGGAGATGCAGCTCACACTGTCCATCCTCTTGCTGGTCAAGGAGTTAATTTGGGCTTTGGAGATGCATTTTCTCTTTCAAAAATTATTGCAGAGGGGATTGCTTTGGGAACTGATATTGGAGAGGTATGTTCCTGGGTGGTATGATCATTTGCTGTTTGGAATTCAAAAGGCTTCCTAGATTTTCTCGTTCATATATAGCTTGGCAAAATACATTTTAATAGCTCTGTACACATGTTAAAGTAAAATACATTTACAACATTCAAAAACTAAATTCAGACTTTGGCAGACCACTTTATTTTAAAGTCAAATATGCTATTTAAAGTACTAGTAAATTTCTACTATCAAATTATATATCTATGAATCTCTAAATGATCTAAAAATTGGTATACAAGATTATTAAGATAAAAATACACTATTCAACAACTATATTCGTAAAATTTAATATTTGTAAGAAGTTATTAAGGATATAAGTTTACCAAATTTGAGAAACTTCGGAACTACAAGTCTGTTCGTACATATAAATTTGATATAGTTCTTTCTTTGTTTACGCTGCTGCAGGTAAACTTATTAAAGAAGTATGAAGCAGAGAGGAGATCAGCCAATATTATGATGATGGCGATCCTTGATGGCTTTCAAAAAGCCTATTCTGTTGACTTCGGACCTTTGAATATTCTGCGAGCTGCTGCTTTCCATGGGGCAAACTATATATCACCTCTTAAAAAAAGTATCATTTCCTATGCTTCTGGTGAGCATAAATTGCCCATTTTCTTGTGAATTCAGAAATGTCAATAATTTCCTGTTACTGGCCTACTTAGCAAACTAAGTTTTAGTCAAAGGCTCAACACCCGAAAGATTTATTTTCTGTTTTCTTAATTTATTTTTTCTGGGTTAAGCATGTAATGAAACTAGTCAGCTTTACACTTATAAAGTTGTTCTGTGCAACAATGGGTGAAAGATTAGTCTTGCTTCTTACTCTGCCTTTAATGCTGGGGTGAATATACTGTCATTGAGGATTCGGGGGATTTTTCTTGGGCTGGAGTGAGTATTTTAAACGGAAGTTCACACCATATCCTCTTATTTTTTGTGGTCAACATTTTAGGTGAGATGGCATTAGCCATTTAGAAATTGGTGGGGCTTACATGATCCGAATGTAAGGGTGGAATAGGCTTAATTTATTTCCTTAATCCAAGGCTAGAACATGGTATATTTGCGTAGACTTTTTTCTAAGGGGCAAGCTTAGTTTGAAAACTTAATTAAAAGTATATTGTAATACAGTTTTAGGTTGATAAACATCAAATTTAGGTTCTATGTAGCCCTTTTTTTTACGTAAATTTTAAAAATAAAATCTTAAGTATAAGTTTGATTACGTTTCTTTTTTTATTCTTTTTCAAGAAGTTTGGTAAATTATTTTATAATTAATTGTCTCGTTCAATAAAAGATTATTTAAAAAAAATAAAATATATAGTATTAATTTACCATCAATGTATTTGATGATAATGACAAAAATACATAAAATTATTAACACAAATTCTTTTATAACTTTTACTTTTAAAAATCTCAAAAACAATTTTAATTCATAACAAATAGTTTTGAATATAAAATTAAATGATTTATTACATATAATGATAATTAAAGAAATTTAATATTAAATGTTTGAAATTTTCAATATTATTTTTTAATACATTTCTAGAAGATAAAAATACTTTTCTAAACACAACTCATTACATTCAAAATTTATGAAAAATTATTTAATTAATGTCACTTAAAAATTAAAACTTGACCCTCAAGCTAACAAGATTAAGAATTTCTGAAATTGAAATTTAATTCAAAGGGCAGAATTATAAATATGAAAAAAAAATTGTTAGTGTATTTTTTCAAAAAATATTCAAGTTGATTAATTTGATTTTGATTTTTTTAAATGTGATTTTAATTATTTATATTTAAATTTAACATTTAACTATGATGTTTTATTCTTATAGAATTGATAAAAAGGGGTAAACATGATTTAATTATTTTTAATATCTAGATTTAATAATTAGTAATATTTTTTATTATCATACAGTTGATTAAAAGATTAAATTTATATTATTTTAAAGTTTGAAGATTAATTTGTTAATTTTTAAAATATGAAAATCAAAAACTATTTTGAAAAAAAAATATATACAAGAATAAAAACTTAACAAGTAGTACATCATAATAAAGTAATAATAAAGTAAATAGATTCTTATGAGAATACAAGGTGAGGCAATGAGTTGGGAAAGAAAACACGTATTTCGGCCACCGTTTTACCTCTCTCGGCCATTCTTTCATCTTCAACTCCGGCATCTACGTTAACATCTTTTTATTTTAATCAACCACATGAACTAACGTAAAACAAAAATTTATGAATATCCTATGTTCGTAAAATATTCAAAGTGCTTCTTTGTTTTACCACTTTATAATTATTAAAATATGACTCGGTAATCTGTAACGTTATAAATGAACGCATGATTTATATGATGTGAAAAAAAAAAGTGAACATCAACTTCTTTATTTTTTAGAATTACTCTGTTAATAAAGAAATAAAATAAAAATAATAATTAAGATAAAAATATAATGTAAAAACTTTAAAAAAATAATAATAATTTGCTATCCTTATCTAATAACAACTAAAAAATATGAAAATTTTTATAATACATTGACTATTATCTCAAGTTTTTTTATCTTAAATATATTTACACTCTCCAAAACAATAATTTAAATCAAATCTTGTAACATTTTACTATAAGAGTATAAGAAAAGTTAAATATAAACTTAAAGTATTTTTGACAGGATATTAGAAAATTTTATAATTACTATCATCCACTTTATTGCTTATCTAGGTGATGTGAGACTTTCCACGATATACTATTTTCATTAACCCAATAATCTTTACCATGATTAAAATAAACATATCTTCTTTTTTATCTTCATTGTGATACCAACAATCATTCATACTCTATCATAAAGAGTATACTCACTTGGAATTAGACCATTTTAAGAATTTTCTTTTATTGTACACCTACATTAATGTTAACCACCTTGTATAATCATCACACACTGTGTATCAATACTAGTCAATCAATACTAGTCAATGCCCGTGAACAATTACCACTAGCAAAAACTCATCATTTTTCATGTCAGAAGTTCGTCTTTTCAAAGTCTTGTGTAATCCAGATTGCATCATCACATCTTTGACTTAAGTTTACCACAAATCAAAATTGATTCTTCCATCAAAGTTCTGAATGTTACAAATGACATTAATAAGGAATTAATCTTTTTTTTATATAGAAAATCAGGCTAAGCTTCAACCATAGAGTATATTTAGAATATCTTATTGAACCATAAACTTTGATATTATTATGATGGAAAAAAATGTCACGAATAATATCAACATCTTTATCCCTAAGAATTATCTTACTAATAGAAATAAGATAATAAAAATATTACGAAAAACATCAACATTTAAATTCAAATAATAATCTAATTTTTTTTTAAATAATATTTTAAAAAATAAAAATATGATAAAAATCTCATAATAACTAATTTAAAGGAAAGGTAGTAAAAAAATAATTCTCAACGTTATTCCTTGATTTAATATTTATTATTTGAATTTAAATTTTAAATTAATTTTCCTCTTTTCTTTTATATATTTTTTTCTTAGTATCACCTTTTCATCCAATTTCATATTTTTTTCATCTATTAACTTCATCTTCTTTATTTTGTGTGATTCTACAACAGTAATTTCGGACCTGCACTTCAAAATTTGGTTTTTGATTGATATTTTCATTTTTTTCTTTGATATCAAATTTCTTCAAGAAATATGCATCATCATATTTTGATTTTTGATCCTCTTATACATTTTTATTTATAATCAACTCTTCTCTTATCAAATTTAAAGTTTTTTTGTTTGTTTTTCAATGTGAACTTTAAATACTTCTAAGTAATTTGCATATTAATTACAAAAAAAATTGTTTTCAAAAGATAAATATTTTTTAACAACTAAACAACAACACTTAACAAATCTTGAATAATCTCAAAAATATATTTTCACACCTAAATGACTCTTAATTATAATTGTTCATATACTCTTTTCATGTTCATTTGTTATTCATGATTAATTCTTACTTTAGAAATAACATATTAGTTAATCTTTTTAAATTTTGTTGATTATAAATCATGTGATTTTTACCGTCATTATCTATAAATCAACCTTTTATGGATTTGTTGGTTAAAACATATTCTTTTAAAGAGGTATTTCTTTTCTATTTCAGCCTCTACAACCTTAACAACTTTTTTTGAGGTTGAAAATTGTATATATTATCTACATATCCCAATTAAACACATTTTTTACATTTCAAATATGAATTCACCAATACTATTTTTCTTGCATTAGAGACAAAAGAAAAAAAAATATATTTTCATTTTGATTCTATTTATTACAACAAGATTTCTGGTCATCAATTCTCATTATTCTTGTAATTTTAAACATATTTTTTTATGTTTTTTAATAAAGTAATATATGTTTCATATTTCTACGTGTATATATATACTAAAATTTCCTCAACTAATATAATATCAAGAACTTCATTACCAATTTTTATATTATCAGTAATATGTTTAAATATTATCAATTATTTCATACTTTTTCTATTTTTTTAGCTCAAATATCCTTATTAATATCACTCTAATATTTTGCATCTGGTAAGAATTATTTGTGAAATTCTAACAAACCATAGTAACTTAGTTTTTGTTTTCTTTTTAATTTTAATTTTAGTCATAATGAGATTTTTAAACAGATTAATAATGTAATGTTTCATAACTTCCATAAATTTAGTTTTTGTAAATAAGATTGCATTTACATAACATATAGGTAGTAACTTTCGTTATAAAATAATAAAATTCTCTTTGGATATTATAGGTATAATAAAAAGAAGTTCTAAATATTTTTATTTAATAATAGATTTTTTTTCTTATACTCTATATATAAAAAAATAAAATATAATAAAATATTAAATATTAATAAAATGTTAAAAAAATATTAAATCAAAATAATAATTTAATATATTTTTTATTTATTTAAATAATATTTTTAAAAATTAAAATATAATAAAAATATCATACTAACTAACTTAAATAAAAAATAATAAAATAATAATTCACAATAATTTGATATAATAATAATAATTCGTGACAATTAAGCCTTTTAAAAATGACAAAGTGTATTGTCTACAAGATTTGGTCGTAACTTAAAAAAAGAAAGATTATGTCAAATGAAACATCAAAGATAAATAAATTAAATATAATTTAAAAATATATTAAATAAATAAAGAATTTCTTTTTACATTAAAATAAATTGACATTTTATTTTAAACTTGGCTTTTGAAAAACACTTTCCAAAATATGTTAGTACATGTTTGGCAACATATGTATAATCATCTTTCCATCAACTTAGGTTCACCACTCCACCAACATATTCCCAAACATAACTTAAACTTTAACCTTTTCAAAACATTTTTCAAACCTGTTAAAAGTTTAACATTTCATAAAATATATTTTTTTAAGAATTTTAACATACATAAAAATAAGATATATTAATAAAACAAAGAAATTTAATTAACAATTATCAAATAAAACCATCGGTTACATTGAACTAAAATATAAAAAAGGTTAAATATATTTTCTATTACTTTTTCTCAAATTTAGCTTTATTTATATAATTTTAAAATTGATTAGTTAATCTTAAAGTTTTAAAAATATACTTGAGTTTAATTTATTTACTGATTTGATAATAGTAATAATAATAATAACGTATTATTAAATATTAAATTCGAATATAAAATATTAAAATGATTTAATCTTTTAATAAATTTCATATGGATATTAAAAAAAATGAACATGTGTTCTTAAAACTCGAGAGAATAAATTTATCAATTCATAAACCAAAAATAAGATTGAAAAAAATATACAACAAAAAAAAGACACAATTTTTTTAATGAAAAAGCCGAAAGGTTTGTTTTTCTTTTCAGTCAATAAAGCAGTGTAAACGGGTCAACCCTTAAGACAGACCCACAAAGTCTGAAGTGAAATTCCTCCGTTATCCCTAAAACCCCGCCACCAATCACGCCCCAAAATCCAAAATAAAATCCCATTTCTATGCATTACCCGCTTCACGTTCGGCTACTTCCCGTCACTCCTTTTTCCTTCCTTTCACACGCCAACAACGTGACACCCATTCCTCCTTTATAACAACCCTCACGCATTCCCTTTCTCGCCACTCGCGAAACCCTCGGCAATGGCGGAGAACGGCGAAGGCGCCGAAGAGTACCTCTTCAAAGTGGTCCTCATCGGGGACTCTGCGGTCGGCAAGTCCAACCTCCTGTCGCGGTTCGCCCGGAACGAGTTCGACAGCAACTCCAAGGCCACAATTGGTGTGGAGTTCCAGACGCAGGTGGTGGAGATCGACGGCAAGGAGGTCAAGGCGCAGATCTGGGACACTGCGGGTCAGGAGCGCTTCCGAGCCGTCACTTCCGCTTACTACAGAGGCGCCGTTGGAGCTCTTGTCGTCTACGATATCAGCAGGAGAGGGACCTTCGACAGCATCAAGCGGTGGCTTGAAGAGCTCACTAGTGAGTGCTTTTTGCTTTCTATGGAATTCGAAATTATAAATGCTGGATCTGGTTTTTTGTTGAATAGCCTTTTGTCTTTAATGCCCCTAAACAACATGATGGCATTGCATAATCCTCCAACAATTTGTTCAATTTAGTTTCGAAATGTCTCTAAAATATATGGACTCTGCAGCTAAATTATTTGTCATTGTTCATTCCATTGCATAACCCCAATTTTCAGCATCTTAAAGCGTTTACAATGAGTTGCTTAAGAACATTATATTGTTTATCAATCAAATATATATGTATATATATTATAAGATTGGAGAGTATCGCATTTATAATAAGCCACTGTTCCTTATGAATTACTTAGTGTATGTTAGTTTTTAATTAGAAATCCTGTCAATGACAATACAATCACAGCTTTAGTATTTGTGTTAAATATAAGAGAGAATATGAAATGTTGAAGACAGAAGATATTTATGGATTAAGTTAAGTGATCTATTGATAAAAAAATTTCATGGCAGTGAAAATTAGTTGGATCACTTAAAATTAACTGAGATATAATGGAGATCTTCTTAAGATAACATTTAAAATAAGTGTAGTATGAGATGAAAAATTTATAACTTATTTTTGTTTCATTGTATTTCCATATAATTAACGTCTTTGATCCGTTACATTGTAGAATTCCCAAACAATATAACAACAAATTTTACCCCATGCATTCTATTCCATTATATTTCAATCCAATTCAATTTTTTATCACTAATTTAAACATAGCCTCAACCACTACTTATATAATTTAATAACTTTAAAACTATTTAGGATAAAGTAGTATTTGATAGATCATGTTGATGGTTTATTAGTTTTATAATTTTTTTAGTAAATACTACTCTAATTGATTTGGAAAAAAATGTAGGAATATGTCGTAGTAGTTTCTACATATGGAAATTACATTTTAACGTCCCTGAAAGTGTAAAGATTCGTGTCATGTCCTAATTTGACCCAAAAATGCATATCTGGGGGACTGATTTCGCAGTTAATTTAAATATTTGAGAACTACGATTAAAATTTCTATGCATTGGGTTCGGGACTGATATGATCAATGCTGCGTAAGAGAAGTGCTGGCAATAATATTGTCTAATACATTAAAACATTAAAAATTATAAAATTATGAGTTTAGCTTATTAATTAGAACCGAGTTTCTGAGACTCATTTATTTTTAATAAATTTCTAATGATACAAAGTGTTTCCAAAAGAATGTAGTAAAATATATGTTATCGTGTCTTTTTTAGTTTTTTGTAGTATTTTGTTTTGGATGTGATGGAATTGGGTGAGAGCTATTAATAATGGCGTTGAATCTTGTTTATTAGAATATCAGGAGCGTTCTGATTTTTGGGTATATTTCGTAATTGCAAGACTTAATATTATAATAATAGGATACTACAATATTTGATAAAAGTTGCATGACCCTTGTGATAGTACAAAGATGCATGGCTCCCTTGAATCATCAAAACCTGCTGCTTAATTGTCATCATTGTTGCGCGAAATGAGAGATCTGTACGGTTTTGCCAAAGTTAGCAACAAAAACAAAATTAAGTATTTTGTAATGATTAAAAGCTGGTAGGCATCATGTCTGTTGTCGGATTCCTGACTGTATTTTAAATATGATGAATGAAGTTGAAGTTGCAACTGCACGAATCTTCACCATCTACAGTATATTTTATACATCTTCACTGTATAAATTGCTAAAATAAACAACTATGTCGTGATCTAATGTTGTATTTGTGCACTTTTCTACGATATTTTGTACATTGTCAGAACAAGTCTATCTTATGATATCATGCAGATATATTATATAAATATATGAAATATCAGAGCATCAACTTGGCATATTATTTTTGTTTCTGTTACTGTTTAACTTTGGTATGTTATAGAGTCCAATGAGAGTTCACCCTCCAAATATCCAAGTTCCTTGTCCCCTTAATTTTCAAAAATATTATGTTATTATTTTTTTTATCAGAAATTTGGCCCAAGAAAAAAGGAGTGTAATGAAACCCCCATTTAGAGACTAATTTTATGATACTTAAAAGAATTGATGGAGTAAATTGATGACATTTCATCATTAACACCTTAAACTGAAGACAATTCTTGAGTGCCAAAATGATGGCGCTTGTTTTTTTGGAGGACAAAAGCGTGTTTTTTTTACTGCATGGATTAGGTCTGCTGGTCCTTTTGGGATCAGTCAAAAGCATATGGAAAATATATACTTTGAGAAATTGCTATATATTATCTTTCCATCAGCTACCTGCCTCGATGCACTCGAATTCTTATTAGAGGTTTCCTTTTCATGATATTTTGTAATGGAGAGTTTAATTCTTGAATAAATTAATCTGCAGCTCAAAATGATAGCACTATAGCAAGAATGTTGGTGGGAAATAAATGCGACTTGGAGAATATTAGAGAGGTGAGCACAGATGAGGGCAAAAGTCTTGCAGAAGAAGAGGGTTTGTTCTTTATGGAGACATCTGCACTCGATTCTACCAATGTCCAAACAGCTTTCGAGATTGTTATCCACGAAATTTACAACAATATCAGCCGTAAAACCTTGAACTCTGATTCTTACAAGGCTGAGTTGTCTGTGAATCGAGTAAGCTTGGTTAATGGTGCAGGATCAAAGCAAGGTCTTTCTTGTTGTTCTCGATGAGCTTTTACCTTTACTCGGATTGGATCTCTCGACAGTAGATTCTTGTTCTTTACTCTCTTTTGGCTATCTTCCCATGTTATGATGGCTACCATATTTTTGTTTTCTTTTTTAATTCAAACTTCAAGTTGTAAGTGCCTGGGACCTCATCCCTCTAAGAAGAAAGGGAATGGTTTACACTCTTCCATCAATATTCCATCGGATTGGACGCTTCTGAGAGTTAGTTGTTATGTTCTTAAATATATCTTGTATTTGTAAGAACAATACATGATGTCAACTGAGTTTGGATGGCAAAGATCTCTGTGGTAGGCGCATCCACATTACCTCTCCTTTTACATACTATTCTTTTCTTTTAGATTTAACATATCTGAAGAAATGAATGTTTGCAAAATTAAAGATACACTAAATTATTGTTTTTTGGCATTTGGAGATTTAAATTACATAAATAACTAAAGAATTAAAATTACGTATAAAAAATTAACTAGAAACTAAAACTGTATACCGTAATTAATAAGGATAGACAATTGTTACTTTTTCTAATAGGAATGGGATCATACACATTATTTTCAGAACAACAAATGGAATTTGGAAGGCTGTTGGGTAAAAGTTAAGAGTCAGGAAGTGGTATTTTTTGGATTAGAAGAAAAATAGTAAAAGAAGAGAAATAAGAAAAAAATTTATAATTATTTTAATTAATTTGAAAAAAATTAAAAATATATAATAATTAGATAATTTAATGAATGATCAAAATGTCTAACATAAAAAATTAAAGATGATTAAATAAGAATTAATAATTATATTTTTTTAAAAATTTATTTATAAATTATTTAAAATTATCTGCTCAATACCGTTTGAATAATATGCAAATTATTTTATATCTAAAAATATCTATAGAAACTTGTGAAAAATATTATATTTATTTAACTTTTTATAAATTTTAAAGAACATCATTTAAAATGTTTCTATGCTTTACAAAAGAGTGACCAGGAATAAGAAATGACTAATAGTGTATATTTGTAGTTGATCCTTATCTGCAGCAACAACAACCAAATGAAATACGTTCAACAAACAAAAAATCTAAAAAGTATCACAACTTTTTGTAGGTTTTGACCATTTGAGAAATATCCATTGTGACGTTGGTTTTCAACTTATCTCAACCCATTTCTTTTCCTACTTGAACAGTGGATAAGAGCGTGGGATTCATAATATATTTTCTTGAAAATTAATGTGAATAGATGAAAGTAAACATACATGTTTCTCTTTAAACTTGTTCCTTTCCTTTTACTTGTATGGTACACATATACAAGAAAAAGTTTATTCTTGTGATATTGTTTTATGAGTGATAGGAGGTGTTATTGTGATATTATGTTAAAATTTAATTAGAATTAATGGAATTTAATAAAATAATATTTTATAATATAATAAATTTATTAATAATAACATTTTTATAGTGAATGTTATTATCATGTTAATGTTATATTAAAAGTTATAAATATTAAATATATTAAAAAATATAAAATAAATAATAGTTAAAATAATATTAAAATATAATAAAATAATTATTATTTAAAATTGATGAAGTAATATAAAATAAAAAAACTAAAATAAATTATATTTTTTATAAAAATAAATATATTAAAAAAATTAATTTTTATTTTTTTATTAAAACTGATTTTATTCAAAAACTCAGCTAATCTTTTCGTTTTACTAATTTTATACTGATTTTTTTTAATTTATTTCCGGTTCAATTAAAATCTGATTTATTTAAATAACGAATCAATTTTTAGACTGGTTTCAATTAGACTAGTCGAATGCGGTTCGGTTTCTAAAATTGTGAATAATACTATTATAATATATAAAAATTAAAAAAAAATGAAAGATGGAAATATAAATATAGATAAAATATGATTTCCATGTATAATAGCTATATGTAAATTTTGTCTAGTTTTCGTAAAAATACTAATTATTTTGTTAAATTTTTAATTATCACACTTAAAAGAAATAGTTAATTTTATGTCACATGTACTCATAAGTGTAATTTTAATCACTGCAAAGTTCTATATTATTGACTAATTATAAATGTGTATGGTCAAAGTCATTAAGTTTGCAAAATTTTCTTAGGTAAATTTTGAGCAAGACGTAGATGAATTATTTTTACAAGTACTATTAGATAGTACTTTAATTATTTTATAATTAATATAAAAAACTTGTTTGTATTCATATATATATATATAATATTTTTTTCTACGTCAATTCTTAAATAACCGATAATATGGTGAAAAATGAATTTTGTAATGGTGATAATCCATTATAAATTATAAACTCATCGGATTGCAATTATTATTTTTTTTGCTTTGGAATCAAAATAAAAACAAAAACAAAAACCATGCAATTAAAGTATACAATGATTATTTATAACAAGTCTCACTTTTATAAGTCTCTTCTTTTCAATTCAATCACATTCACTTAAAAAATTCTTCCTCACTTTTTATTCAATTATCTTTTGTTCTTTCAACGGGTTCAAGCATCTTAACTTGTCAATTTTTTATTTTTTTTTACACCCTTAAGCTATCCAAACTAAGAATATATGATAATTTTATATTTTTTCAAAAACTAGAGTGACAATAAATAAAAATAAAGTGATATTATAGAAACCAAAATGACATCGTTTCAATTTTAAAAAGTTAATTTGAATATTCGTCCTGTAAAACTTATGTCATAGTATTTGACTATGATCAATTTAGAGGATCCTTCAATTGTTTCACTGCGCCAAATTGCATGATAATCTCAATCCTTCTTTCGTAAAAATAGCCATCCTCCTAAGGAATCTAGGTTTAGAAGAGTTGGAGTCAATATAAAATAGAGCCCGGTTCACGGACATAGCCTGCTAGCCTCAGGTGGTCATCCAGTTCAGCTAGCAACAAGTGAAGTTGACTATAAGAAGGGTGATACGTATCAGAAGCTGCAAACACATGAACCCTCTTATTGATTTCAACACAGCTAGATCCAGGACATCTCTTTTCTACACCCAGATCCTTCATGGCTGTTCGAATCCTCGCAACCTCACTCCACCTATTTACTTCAGCATACATGTTCACAAGGAGACTGTAATGTCCACTGTTACTTGGCTCCAAAGCCAGCAGATTCTGAACAGCAATGTGAGCTATTTCCATGTTTTTGTGAAGCTTACAACCACTCAACAAGGCACCCCAAATAAAAGAATTAGGTTCAACTGTCATGTTTTGGACCATCTCTAAAGCATCCTCAAGCAAACCAGCCTTGCTATATAGGTCAACCATGCATCCATAGTGTTCAACCTGAGGAGTGATACAATAATCTTGGATCATACTCATAAACCAGCAACGGCCCTCTTCTACAAATCCTGCATGTGTGCAAGCGCTTAGGATACTAATGAATGTAACTGCATTCGGTCGGATTCTTTTCCTCTCCATTTCACCAAACATTCTTAGTGCTTCTTCCGCATAGCCGTGTGTTGCAAGCCCATCAATGATAGAATTCCAACAAAACAGGTTTTTGTTCTGCAATTTGTAGAACACCAAAAGAGACCTATCTATGCTCCCACATTTTGCATACATATCAATCAATGAAGACCCAATGTACACATCAAGATCAAATTCATGCAGCATCAAATAAAGGTGCACCTCCTTTCCTAAGTCAAGGGCTCCTAGATGAGCACAGGCTGAAATGACAGTGGTCATGGTCACTTCATCAGGAATCATTCCTTTGTCGATCATGTCATGAAAAAGTGTTACCACGTCACTATATTTTTTGTTCCGCAAATAGCACTTCATCATGGTTGTCCACGCAATAATATCCCTTGCAGGCATTTGGTTAAAGAGAAACTCAGCAGACTCAGCATCGCCTAATTTTGCATACCCATCAATCATGGCATTCCATGTAGCTATATTCTTTTCAGGCATCTCATCAAACAACTTACCTGCAGAATTCATATCCCCATCCCGAACAAGAGCTGAAATCATCGTTGTCCAAGCAAAAACATCTCTTTCAGGCATAACATCAAACACTCTTCTTGAGCCACTCACATCACCCAAAGTTGAGTAAAACTCAACCAAAGTAGTCTGCACAAACACATGAGAATCAAATCCACATTTCCAAATATGGCCATGAAGAGCTTTTCCAAAAGCTGAATCCATCAATAAAGTGCAAGCCTTGATCAAAGAAGAAAAGGAATAACTAGTAGGCATGACATTGTTTCTCAGCATGCGAATATAAAACCCCAAAGCATGATCTGGATAATAGCAGTGAACACAACCTCTAATCAATGCATTATAAACCAAAGCATTAGGATTTTCCATATGAGCAAAAGCTGAACTTGCCAAATCAATGTAAGAAAGGGCTGAACACGAACTTATAAATTGATTCATCAAGAAGCAATCTTGGGTCATATTAGTCTTCACCATGGAAGCATATACCGATTCTAGTGATTTTTGGCTCAAGCATCTCTTAATGTGGCCCAGAATAGTCTCCTTGAGAGTGAGTACGTACATTGCAGTGTAAACAGGTCAACCCCTTAAGACACACCCACAAAGTCCCGAGTGAAATTCTCCCGCTATCCCTAAGACCCCGCCACCAATCACGCCCCAAAATCCAACATAAAATCCTCAAAACCCCATTTCTCTGCATTACCCGCTTCACGTTCGTCTCCTTCCCGTCACTCCTTTTATCTTCATTTCACACACCAACAACGTGACACCCACTCCACCTGTAACTGCATAACAACCCTCACGCATTCCCTTCATCGCAACTCGCGAAACCCTCGGCAATGGCGGAGAACGGCGAAGGCGCCAAGGAGTACCTCTTCAAGGTGGTGTTCATCGGGGACTCTGCCGTGGGCAAGTCCAACCTCCTGTCGCGGTCTGCGCGGAACGAGTTCGATGGCAATTCCAAGGCCACAATTGGAGTGAAGTTCCAGACATTAGTCAATTTAAAAATTTTAATTTGTAGGAAATAATTAAGTCATTTAAAAAACATCAAAATTAATAAAAAAATAACTCTAAATCATATATTTGTTTGGAAACCTTAAATATGAAGTACCTGATACATATAGAATTAACCAAAAATAATCCTTATAACTAAAGTGACAGTAAAAGAAAAATAGACAACCATTAAATTAGTTAAAAATATAAAATTAAAATATTTATTAAATTATAAAGTTCAATTTATTATAAAATAAAAGAATAAAATTTATAAATTATAAATTAGTCAAAATTTTAAAAAAATTAAGAAACTAAATAATGTCAAAATATCTTATATGTTTAAAATACATAAATAGAATTCAATTACATTAAATTAATTAAATTAAGTTTCATATATTTTAACATTATAGCTAAACCAATTTCAAATATTTTGTTTTTTAAAGTTTTAATTTGTAGATGTGTTTTTATGTAAACACGTTGTTGATTTAAAATATTTGAGATGTTTTCCAAATAAATTAGAGACATCTAGAAAAATACGATTAATCCTGAAGTTAAAAATAATGTGCCTCATAAATCATATCAATTGCTTAATCGCACGCGTGTAGTTCTCTGCAAGCTCCCAGTTTGGCACGTGTTAAATAATCTCTATTTTTGGTGAGACGCGATAAACCCTTCTCGTAAACTGAACAAAAATAAGGAATAATTAATAAAGGACCCAATTAAAAAAAGTAGTAAAATAATAATATTTTATCCTTTATCATATCCTTCATATTTTATAACATATGTTAACCTTTAAATTTTATATTATCTTTTTTTTTCTTAAAGTTATGAAAATTGAAGGATCAATTTGTTAATATCATATAAAAATAATATCTCAATTGATAGAGATGTGGCAACAATTAAACCATAAATACAAAGAATCAATGAAACAAACATAAGTGAGTCAAGCATGACGTAGTAATGATGTCACTTGAACAATTATTTCCTTGGACTGCTTTTCAGATGAGATTTATAATTTTAATTTAAAGAGTCAATGAAAACGGCTATTAAAAAAACATAGTATTTATCTAATATTGGAGTTCGAAAAATAATATTTAGAATTTCTACATACAGATCTTATCGATACTATAATATATATCAGGTTGTGTTGGTATTTTGACCGTTTTGCTCATTCTATTACACCGTAAAGTATTCTTATGCACCTTCTTCTCGTCCCGATAGCCTCCATTGCCATGTACATTTTACAATGTATTACGTTAATTTTTCTATCATGTCATGTAAAATTGAGTATTTTTTTTGTATTATTATGACTATAATTTTATGGTGATAAACACACCTTTTAGTTTTATTTATGTTGTGTATGTTCAACAATACGTAATTATTAGGATTGTTAGATTAGATGGTTCGATTGAACTTGATCTAATTATACGGGACAAGAAAAAAAATTTACGACTCAGTATAATATATATTTTAAAAAAATTATAATTTTTAGTCTAGTTTAACTCAGTGTTAAACTATTTAAGTTTTAATTTTATTTTAGTCACATAATAAATGTCCAAAATATATACTTTTGTAAAAATAAAAACAAAGGGAAATGGAAGGCCATGATATGCCGGAGGCAGAGGTGATGATCACTGTCACTACCTCGACTATCCCTTTCAAGGCTGTGTTTTAACTCATTCACATCATATACTTTTAACACTTTCTTCATTTTCTTTGCTTCTAAGAACAATTGTCTTCTTTCCATTCCCCAAATATGACAGGGACTAATACTATAACATTTTTATTCTTTTATTTATTTATTCAGGTAATATTGATGGATATCTTTGAGGACCTAATATATAAGAATTTTTTATAAATGGATGATGGATAACTATTTAAACTAATAAGTTTAAAATCCAAAATCTTAAATGATCAAGTAATGAGTTTTTTTTTTAATTTATAATTTTTATCTTCACAACTCATATTTTAATTACTAATAATTTTTTTTATAAGTGTAATTTTTTTATATTGGTATATCTTTATTTTAAATATAAATATTTCTTAATTATAAGTAATCTATAATGACATTATTTATATTTTTTTACTCAATCCAAGATCTATAGTATATAATATTTTATCTATTTTAATTTCTATAAGGAAGATTTATATTATATAATTTTTCATCTATTTTAATTATACTCAACTAAGCTTATCATGGACCGAATCATCAATTCTAATTTAATTGTACTTAACTAAATATCTATTATAGACTCTAATATTATTATTGGGTACGTATTTTTTAGTAAGTCAATGTAATAAGATATTTCATCTATTTTAATTATATTCAATCGAATAGGAAGATTTTCATAAATAAAATAAATTTTACTATATAAAAGAATATAATACTATCATCTTTAGCTAAAATCTTTACATGTTATGTAATGAATCTTTCTTACACGTAAGTTACTCAATATTTTTATTTTTATCCAATTTAAAAATTCAACTCACACTTATAATTCTCATCAATTATTCTCTTTAAGTATAATTTAATTTTACATTAGGATAATTTTTTCTTAAAAAAATTATTTCTTAACTATAAATAATTAACAGTTATTTTGTATAATTGTTCAACTCAACCAATTTAACTAACCACACACATATATATACATATATATATATATATATATATATATATATATATATATATATATATATTTATCTGTTACTCTACAGAGAATTTTCATGACCTAGGACCAAACAAAAAAGTTTTCAAAATGAGAAAACTTTCATAGTATTCAACCTCAAATGGTTGGGTTGACCAGCATATTAGTATCAAATGACTAATATCTCTCGTACTTTATTAATTAATTAGTTTTTTCATAAGCTCCACGAATCTTTATTGGGATATATTTAATTATAGTTATGCAAGTTAAATAATAAAAAACGAAAAAGCAAGTTAAACAGTAATAATGAAACGGGTAAAGCTTTACACATACACAATCATTTTGACATTTCCACGACTTGTATTGAAATTTGGATAGTCTAAAGTGGTAGGTCAACTTTGATGAAGAGGGTCGTATAGGCGATGTTAAAAAATGCGGGGAGAAGAAAGAAAAAAAGTTTTTTTTTTCATATAGTTAGTTCAAAATGAATAGAAATTCATGTTGGTACGTGATGGTAGCCTTCATGGGCTAATTTCCAATTAAGTTGCAAGTGTTGAGGATGATGATGATGAGTTCCATCCACCATCCATGCATGTATGATGCATTATGCATCACATGGCATGGTAATCTCTTAAAACAAAGTTATGATTAAAGGGAAAGCTACAAAAGCATGAATAACGAAAGCGAAAGCATTATAGTTGCGATTGTGGGGATAAGGGTGCTATGTGTCCGTGAGGGACCATAACTTTGGGGCAACTAGAGAAATCAAATAAAAACGAAATATGGTTTGGTAGATAACTTTAAGGAAAAGTTTATCGTTAAGCAAAAGTGCGATTTCTTTGGTCAATTACAAAATAAAAGGTTCCCTCAAAATCTTGCTTAAGCCAATGAGGTATTTCCACCTTCATAATTTCCGACAATATAAAGAAAGTTGTCAAAAACTAGTTGAGAAATGTGGCTTTTTCACTCATATTGCATGCTTTAGCATAATAAAGTATGTGAAATTATTCCAAAGACTTGTCTGATTAGTGTAATTAGCTTCAAGAGTTATCCGTTGCATGCATGCATGCATGGTGGGAGTCACCTAATCACTATCATATAAGTATTGACTTTTCCAATTAATTGCACCCAGAGGTAATTAGTTTAGTATTAGCTTAGATGAATGTCAGAGAACGAACTCAAAAGTAACTGTAAAAACAATTGAATACTGCTCCAGATTCAATGGGAAGGTTCGAAAACCCATTTTATGCTATTTTTTACATAGTGAATATTTGATGAAGACTCATTATACATTATGCCTTTTGTTTATTTTAATTTTTCTTGTACTAATTATGGTGTGATTTACTTAGTCAGTACGAATATATATTTATATTTACGTTATTTTCAATTGTTGTGTCCACACGCTAGGAAAAATTAATTTTGGAAATATTGAGTAATTGATTGGGACTATATTGGAACCAAAAATGAGCAACAAAGCTTCAGTTTGTGGTCTAGTTTTCATTTTTGCTGTATGGTGTGGAGAAAAAGAATAGTTTGCGTATTGACGTGGGAAACTAACTATTTTATTAAACATAATTAATGGTCCAGTGAACAAGTTTGTAAGGGTAAAAGTTGTCTTAAATATTGTGAAAAATATAGATTTTATAAGCAAGCATTATACAAATATGTAATAAATAGGAAAAAAAAATTAAAGTAGGGAAACGGGAAGCAGAAGGAGAAGGGGGAGAGAAGGGAAGAATGACATATGAAGAGAGTTGACTTGTTTACTGAAGGGGTTGGTCTGTAGTTGGTTGTCCAGTGTATCCATCATAAGTTTTGGGGGACTTCTCAGACTTTCTCTTCAACACAACAATCCAAGTGATAACTTCCAAGAATAAGGCAACTACCCCCAGTGCAATAAGCACTGCAGTGTAAGTTGTTTTCCATTTCTCTTCAGGATGCAAGATGCTGAAGCCCCTGAATACGTTGATGATTCCCAAGATAACCACACTGTACCCAATGCCATGGTGATACATGTTCCATATGTACCTGTACTTGTGACTCTTCCCTGGCCTCAGGAACAATGCGAAAACCTGTAAATTCCAAACATTCTCAAACTTCATTTTTGTTGGATGAATTGATGGTTGAAGAATGTTGACATGTTTTTTTACCTGTAGGGTGGCAAAGCAAAAGAGGGTAATTCCGATATTGCGATGCACACTGTATTGAATCCCCTCTGATTCGCTTCCCAGTTTCATACCTGTTCCCCATCCCGCAACGCCAATGGCATAAGCAGAGACCTGGCAACCAACATGAAGATAGAACCAAGCTGGATCTGCAGATGGAAAAGTCCTCAGATACCTTCCTATCATCACTCCAAGGGGAAACAGCACACCCCAACTCACACCATTTAGAATTCCATGAATCTGCCATTCAACAAAATCACATGCACATTAAACCATCAAAACAACTGAATTCTATCTATCCACCAAAAGGGAGAGACACCCTTTCTACATTCAACCCTTCTTCAGACTCAATTCATCCACTAACCTAAATCCCACGTCAACATAACAGTCTCTTCAACAACCAAAAAAGTCAACAAACACCCCCCCTTCAGAATTGTTAATGCAAACAAGTCAACAAAATAGGAACGAACAAGACCTTTTTCTCCCGAAAATCTAAAAAATACAAAAAGCGCAACCCAAACCCAAAAACTCATTTTCGTCTTCAACCTAGCAAGAAAATTAACAACAACAGAAACATCCATCTTCCGAAATCACATATATAAATTAAGAAAAAAATCCTGTTTTTTCGTGAAATCTCAAAACCAATAAAAAAAAACAAAAAAGAGTCCCTTTTAATTTCTGAAATATCACAAACCAATAAAAAACTAAAACCGCCACTGTTCTTCAACAAATCCAGAAAATTAACCCCTCCCATCCGAAAAACAAAAACACCCTCGCAACCCCATTTTCCTAAATCACAGAAACTCGTAAATTAAACAAAATCCCACATTTTTAAAGAGAGAAAAACACTTAAGACCCGGTTCTTACCCCCCCCCCCAACACGATTAGAATTTTGCAGGAATGATAATCAATCCGTAATAAAAATCTGCCATAAAACTGGCACAACACCACCGCCAGGACCCGAAAAACTACACCTAACTTTTTTCCTTTCTCAAAAAGATTTTTTTTTTTAAAAACCCACAAAAACTCACATTTTTCTTTACTGTGACGGGGTCGACCGCAGGGGCAACATTACTCTGTTCCCCACTGAAGCTAAGAGTTCCCTTGGAATTCAAATTGGCGGGTTTGAAGTCATGCCTGGCGATCATCCCACCGGTGACTGAGGGTCCCACCTGCCATACGTGGTTGACACTCTCCCCCTTCACCGGAACCTTAACCTTCGCCAAGATCCTAATCATCCCTCCGACCTCTTCGCCCTTCATGTCCCACACCTCGAACGACAGCTTCCCGGGATTAATGACCCCGTATGACTTCAAGTCAAACGTTTTCACGGTGACTGCGCCGCCTTCGCCGCCCTTGAACCCCGCCAGCACCTGCGCCCCCACCATGCCGATCCCCGTGGGGTTGATCCCCCAGGAGACCCACCCCCCGGGGCTCGGCGGCGTCGCCAGGAAGGCCACCGAGAGGGAGGAGTTGGCGCGGTCGTGGGTCCAGTGGAGGAAGGAATCCAACACGGGGAGGTCCAGGCAGTTGGCGTAGAGGTTGTTGGCAGAGTCGGTGAGCTTCTGCGTGGTGCAGGTGAGGGCGGAAGGCGTCGCGGTGTAGAGAGCGAGGACGAAGAGGAGGAGGAGGAGGAGGAACTGAGAAGCGGAAGGAGAAGGTGGCGACGCCATTGGCGTTGGTAGTGGTGAAAGGAGAAGGGAGGGAGAGTGGGTTTTAGAGGGATAAAGACAGTAAAGACAAGTAGTTTTTGGTATGTTTGGTGAGGAGATGAGTTGGTGGATTTAAGAATATGAGGTCGGGAATTAATTCGAAAGCGAAGCACACGGAACTCTGAAACTGAAACTGTTACATGCGATGCAATGTATTAATAGGAAGAAGAATGGGACAGCGCAAACCATCATGTATATCCTCCTCTGTTTCAAATAATATTTTTGGATTGCTACCAGAGGTGAATTCTTTATCAATTATATTCTTCTTTTCTTTTCAACATTTTATTTTTAAGTAATTAATATATATTTTGGCGGTGAAAAATTAAAAGAGAAAGAAATCTTCGCGAGGGTTAATTGATGTGATGTTCTAAATTTTAATTTCAATCACGGGAATTAAAGAAAGTAATTATATTCGATCATTAAAGCGGATTTGTGTAATCTTTTTAGAATAGAATATAATTACATGAATTTTGTCAGAATAATTTAAATTTAAGACATTTTAAATATCCACATTTACACACGATTTAAATATTATTAAAGTTAAATCCTTAATATTTATTATATATATATATATATATATTTTTTTTTATAGAGAGGAAATATTTTTATCTCATGATATAAATTGTCAAGAGTTGAATTATTTACGTGCATAATATAAATATAGAAATAATAAAAACTAATTATCAAAAATTAAATGTTAAATCTATAAAATAGTTATATATTTCGGTCAAACCAATTATTCAAATTGGTTGATCAATCTAATCATTCAACTTATTAACCTATACTAACTCAATTTTTAGTTTAAATTCAATGTAATCAATTAAATTATTTTAGTTAATTAATAAAACAAGTTTAAAACAATTTTTTTTACTTGATTTATCTTCCATACCACTATTTTTTTATTGTATATTGGAACATTAACGTTAAAATTGTTTTAATAGAATTATATATTTATATATAAACGCGTAGTGTATATATTTATTACATGGTATTTATAATTTCAATGCAATAGGCACTTTTTCAAATATAGTAAAATTCTTTAACAAATCTTAAACAACCCAGCACTTGTGGAAACTAAACAGACAACTTTAGAAAATACACAAAATGTCATATTTAACCAGATTTAAATATAAATAATTATTAATATCTTTAAAGTACAAGAGATCGTAATATTTGTATCTATAAGAGATTTTTTTATATATATATAAAAAGAAATGGTTGCTGGTTAATTTGAATAATGGTGGATGTGAGTGGCATTCTTGAACACGATCAATGGTTTTATTTCCTTATTTTCCAAATATACTTGATGCAATAGCCACTAGTCATGGTGTGGAATGAACATGTGGAAATAATGATAGTGTACATGTTAAGGCTTCATGTTATGCATGACCCCCATGGGACCATATTTACCCTACTAAGCAGTTAGTGCATTGTAACCATAAATAACAAAATTTGGACAATTTTCTTAATCAATCTCCTCACAAAAATTAAACATTTACCCATAAAACATAATAACAAAAAAGAAAATATTCATCATATTTCCACTTCCTTTTCTATCTTACTATCTCTCTTTTTTTTTTTTTTTTCTGTTTATTACTTTTATAAACCTTTAATCTTTATTTTATTTTATTTTATATGTCTTGTTTTTACCACAATCCCCAAAATGGTGTGTACATTTCACTACTCCACTAGAAAAAGGACTTATTTTTAAAAGTTTTAGTTGGATTTTCTTTAATTAAAAACTTATTTTCTTACATATTATTGGAAAGGTAGATTTCTTTCATGTCTCTAACCATAAAAATAATATTATTACTTTATATTTTTCTAAATTATTAATTAATGACAGATTTTTTTTCTCTTCTAGTCTTATTGTTTTTTTAGTGCTTTCGTCATCATTCATCTCCCTTTATGTTTCTATTTGATTGTGATGCATGATTTGAGAAAAAAAAATGTAAACCTGTTCTTGGAAATGTTTGTATTTAGTTACTAAATAAAAATTAAAACTTAGAAGAGATACCTGATATTCAAGAATAACAAGGGTAAATTTGAATAATAAAAGAGGAAACAAGTAATATTTGGAAGTATTATTTTATTTTTTCTATTAATTTATATATTATGATTTGATTTAATAGAGTGTTCAAATATATGTTAGATTGTGATTATTATTATGATTTTTTTTTCTCTCTGAATGGTAGTTCATTCAATATAAGTGAGAATTCTCTATATTTTATGTTTAATTGTTTTTCGTGTGGAAAATGTTTGTGTTTAATTTTTGGAATATATTATTGTATTAAAAATGTTTAACAAAAATACATGTGATAAATATGATTATATAAAAAAATTGACACATGAATTTCTTTAACGGAATAAGTATTTACTATGTAAGTTGTTATAATCCACGTAGAAAGTGTAACTTTCATTAACTAACATAGAAAGTTTAACATAATTGTTATAAGAAGTCTTTCTTGCACTTGTGGTGCATGCATGTGAATTTTCTCAAACAAAGATGAATATTGACTAATATATAAATATTGTGATATGTTTTATTTATTTATTTATTGAACTTTATTGTTACTAAGATTTTGCTACATGTAAATTTTGGACTTTTGGGATTTTTTTTTCCTTGCATGAGAAATTAATAGGTAAAGAAAGTTAGTTATTCTTTGATTTCTATTATATTCTAGGCTAAAAGATTTGGATTGTGAAGATAACTTTGTTATATTGTTTGAATTATAGGAAATTGGATTATGTGATTGCATGTGTTTACTATAGGTTGATTGTAATTGAGTTTGAATATAAGTTGATTTAGAGTAACAACGCTTGAAATGATGTGTGTGAAATATTAAGATAGGATAATTATATTTAGATTAGGTATAACATGTTTTAAAAGAAAATTATGTAAAAGAGTTGTCTCAAAGGATCGTGTATGGTGTCTACAAACTAGGTTTTATGTGTTATGCAAGTATGATATATGTATATTTCATTCAATTGAAATGTGGAACATAGGCAAAGGTACCTCACGAGATTATTCTCACATAAGTGAGACAATTGTAACGCCCCGCACCATCTCTCTGCACGCACACGAGTCTTGTTTGTCCTTTTGTTACACTAGGTCATCACCAAGCCTAGTTACTTGTATATAGAAACCTTTAGAAAGACCTAGTTTTGACTGAAAGCTTCTAGAAGACTCTAGAACTATGTAGATACTTGTAGTAGAGACATGAACATCCTAAAACCTTGTAAAAACTTGTAGATAGGGCAAGAATCATCTTGAGTAGTGTAGAAGATTCTAGGACGTGTAGATAAAGTAGGACTTCTGTAGAAGGGTCCAGAAAGCCCAAGACCCTTGTAGGATCTAGAAGGTTCCTTAGAGGAGGTGGTGCCTATAAATAGAGAAAGTCCCCTCATTTGCAAACCATCCAAGCATTGAGAGCTCACTTGTACTAAAGTTTGAGTGAATAGCAATACAAGCATTTTTCCTTCAAATTCTCTTTTCTCACTTTCTCTAGCCAAAACACTTGCACACACCGAACACGATCCCGAGCAAGGTGAGACTGGCTTAGCTAATTGCGAAGGGCGCACGAGAGGCTAAGGTCGCACACAACCAAATTTGAGAAATAAGGGCGTAACACAATTCTCTCTTAAGCAAAGATGGCTTCCAAAAGTGAGAGACTTGCATTGGTCTCACTTTCGCTCAAGACAAAAACTCATAATGGAGTGAGACTTGTTTTTGTTGTAGTATCACTTAAATGAAAGAATTTTTGCTGAAACAAAAGATGTTTCTATCAAGCAAAAATTATTTCGCTAAAGTGAAAATGGTTTAGAGAAGGGGTCTTTTTTGGAAGCATTTTGTTCAAGCAAGAATCTCCTATTTGAATGCTTAAAAATGTAAGAAATTGAAAAATATAATGTAATTTCATTGATATATTGGATATGTATATGACTTAGGATGTGAAAGAATATGTTATAAACATGAAACAAAGTGTGTTGAATGTTATTTATGTATTGGAAATATTATATTGTAATGTAAGAAATATATATGTTATGAATATAGAATGAGATATGTTAAATGTTGTTATGTGCATTGAAAAATATTATATTATAATATGACAAATACAAATGAATATTCTCATATGTGAGATATATTGTGTATAAATATTGAATTTAGGATTCAATAGGAGATTATTCTAATTTTAATGATCACTTAAATCAAATAAATTAATGAATCAAGCAAGTAAGAGTTTAAATACATTTTTATGACTTAATCTAAAGTGTGAAAAATAATTATATTTAAAAAATCATAAAAATTTATTCATACGAGAGTGTACATATTATTAAAAGTATTATAATAATGTAATATATATATATATATATATATATATATATATATATTAAGATGATTTTTAGAATATTAAATATATTAAGACGATTTTTAAAATATTAAATATTAAATTAAACTTAGAGATTATATATATATATATATATATATATATATATATATAAAATGTGATAACTAATTTATATGAATAAAATAATATATAATTTTAAGGTGAATTTTCATATATATATATATATATATATGAAAATATACCTACATGTTAATAAATTCAAATTTAATATATTTATTTTAAATTACTAATTATTTTATGAATTATTTTATGTATTATTTTATAATTCAATTATTAGACTTAAACAAAAGTATGATTAGAGTTTTTAAGATTTTAAATGTTTTTATTAATTTTATATTATTTATTTTTTACATGTAAAATATATAAATTTTTAGGTATCTAAATTTTGAACTGATACATGTAATTTTTTTTAACATTTTCTTATAATAATAATAATAATAATAATAATAAATATTAAATAATAATAAAATTGACATGATAATTATTTAGTAATAAATAAAAAAATAAATATAAAAAATTTAACTATATCTTTCATTTTTATTATTTCCATTT